TATAAAATATTGGGGGATGCGAGAGAGGGGGGGGGGGGGGTGTCTTTTCAACCAGCACCTGAAAGTGAAATGAAATTGAGTATAGTCTTCTCTATTCTGATTGGGCTAATGAAGACGAGCAACACCATGCAGTGGACTGGGAGGGTAATTTTGCCACAAAATATGATTAATCGTTTTCGATTTGCATCTGTTAATGGATCTTTAACGTTACAGCCTGTAGCAAATAGGTCTTGTTTTATTGTCCTGTGTATATAACTAACTCTTCCTCCAATCAGGATCCGACAAAAACGGACACGTTTAGCTATATTACAATATATCTTGGCTTGATATTTCCAAATTAATGTATCGTCGAAGAAATCGTGGAGACAGTTTAATGTAGAAATCAAAGACGTTAGTCTGCAGATATATTTATACACGTATATAAAAATATATGACCAGCGAGGGAAATCATAGCCAGTCTGCTACAATTTGGATTTCATTACATCAAACCTAGCTCATACAACACATTTCTTAAGTCTGTCTGATTAAAAAGTAAGTTCTACGAACATGAATTTCGACTTGAAGTACCAGAGAACGATGGCGTGACTGAATCGAATCACACTCTAGAGCAATTAAATCTCTTTTCATTGCAACCTTTTTTAATTGACCTCCCTCGTGGCATCGGGGATGACTCTTTAGATAAGCCTTTTGGTGAAACGCGATAAATTGCATTGACGTAACAAAGATTTTTATGCCAGGGAAATGGAAATGCATCCAACGAGTTTCCACAATACAGATATTATCACGATAAGTAGACAAGCAAGTGAGGTTCTCGGAAACGACATGAAAATGTATGTTGATTTTTCTATATAACGAAATAATTGTTTCCCAACACGGCGGTAAGAAAAAGGTAGTTCATTTCAAGCTTAGCTTTGATCTCTGATACCATATCGTTCGTGAAACTATCAAGGAGGCTCGACCGTCAGTAATCTCAGTAAAAGGTCCGGCTTAAGACAAAACAACAAGGTTTATTCTTTACCATCAAACTTTATATAACAAACTGTTTGAATTATAACAACTATTATGGATACAGAATTAAAGCAAATCATGATAAATAAAAATAATAAATAATGGACAATATTAATTATATATTAAAAAAAAGTGGTAAAATACGATGTTTTTCAGCCTCTATTTTGAATAACGAAAATAAAAAAAGCACCACCAATACATGGTATGCAAAAGAAACCTGACAAATTAACATATCATGGGACTAATCATGTATTATGCCTGATGAGGAGACTACTAATTAATAAGTTGATAACATTTATAATGTGAAAATCGTTTATTTAAAAGATATTATAAAAAGCACTAGCCAAAATCACAAATCTGCTTCATAGAAAGTGGCCTCTTACTTGACATTATGAAGATAGACGAAAACATGCTAACTGTGTTTTTTTCTTCTGTGGAAACCCATTAGATTCTCATGTCCAATTCTATATACACGGTTATGTGAGTATATGTCAAAATCATGCTGTTTTAGAACTAAATAAATTGTGGATGAGAGTACTTATCAAAATCAAGATTATCAAGAATGCGTACTTTAGTTTAGCTTGGCTTTGTAAGTTTAACGGGTTTCAAAATCAATAAAATATAAAAGAAACAAAATTATTTTGCACTAGACGTATTACGAAATGGTTATTTTCTGGCAAGATACAAGAAACTTAAACTAGACACACGTAATAAAGACAAGTATATTTGATAACTTGACGTATTAGAAACATGAACAGGGAAATGAAATTCTTAAACTAGAACAATTGAAGTAAAAGTAATGATTTACGTCAAAGAAACGTGAAATGGGAATTGGGATTGTCACTCATAAAAAATATCATCTAAAAAATAAAATGGATTTCTTATACAACAAATTATAAAGAAAGAAAATAATTGGAATGGAACTAACAACTCGTCTGCAGTCTAATATAGTTCTAAGGAATATCTAACTTTAAAAGAATTAAAGGAACCGTATCAGATGAGATTTAAAAAAATATATTATCGGCGAATCGAATTTCTCAAGATAAAAGGCTTGGGTATACTCTGTAAAGAGATCAGTTTATGACAAAAAAATTGTGATATTTCAGCACGAATTCACATTAATATAGCAGCACATATATTCAACAAATGAAAAACTGTTTGGTTAGATTTTTTGTTCGAGAAGAATTTCGCGAGATATCATGATGGCCATTGCCCTAATATAACTGTTACTACTTTCGAAAGCCAACAAGCGGGGGTTATGATGTTTCCTCTCTAATATGGTTTCTTTAATAAACAATAAATAAACAGTTTGGACTATCAATAATAACAATAAAAAGAACATCAGAAAATAACATCTAAATAACAAGACATGAGTACAATGATTGAATGAACTGTATTATATAAATATATCCAAATTGTCTAAGAAGATAATATTGGTAAAAACAGTCAAAACGATCAAAAAACAAATAAATCCACTAAAGATCGGAAATTTAGGAACAAAAAATACGCCATATTCTTTTCTTAACCATCGTCTTGGAATCAAAGGCATCCTACGAAAACACTATTACTTTTTATCAAATACAATTTCTGAATCTGCATCTGAGCCTTTTTCGGATTCGTTTCAAGTAAGTAGCAGGAATTTAAAAACGTGACAAAAACGTTATTGCATTACAGTAACTTTTTCTTACAAAATTATCAAATAAACCCTAAAAAACATGAAACCAGGCTTGACAGATCCTAAAAGAGATATTTCTCAATATAGTTCAACAGCAGTAAAACCGTAATAGATTCAACATCACACAAATTACAATCTCAATAAAAATTGACATTTCGACGAAACAAAAACATTTCGCAGCACATAAAACTTTTTACTCGGTCGAGTTAACCTTTTCCGTAATTTGAAAATTTATGTAAAATCGATGATTTGAATGTAATAAAACTTCTTTATTGGCATTTTGAATAATTGATAGCGATGTCACTTTGAGATGTTATATTATAATGGCATGATGTAATATGTGCAGTGATTTTATGTCAGATAAGCTTTCATCACGCCATTAGGCTTTGTAGTACATCTGACAAATCCAAAATGGCTTTATATGTCTAACAATAGTGAATTCTATTTGATGGTCTTTCAATAATTTGATGGGATTTCAATCAGTTTGTAATTATTTCAAGAATAGAAAGCCATGAGTCATTGGCTTGAATAGATATTATTCTTAAATAGTCATCAAGTTAAAGATATGTCGACATTAAAGGGATTGAAAAGAAAGTTTCTATACTTTTCATGTGCATTGGGGACATTGATAGGATCGCTTTCAGTGGCAGAGCCACGTTTGTAGTACATGCAATTTCATATCGACAAAGCGTTTTATGACAACACTGTATCAATTTCTCTTAGTTATCATTAACAGCGTTTGCGATATTGATGTTATAGATGGTCAAGCATTTCTGTAAATTCAGTAACCACAGATATAGGGTGAAACAATTGGAATAATGTTAATAGAAGCCATAAATAGTTCTAAAATTTACAAGAAAGAAGGTTGAAAACCTCTTTTCAGTCCCTCTTATGCTTCAGAACTGACAACATCGTTAAAATACCAAATAATATCTAACATAGTCAACCTTTTATAAAAAAAACTTACTGGAATAAATCTTTCAAAAATATTTTTAAAATGGCAAGCATTCTTATTTGTATTCGATGAATTTCAATTTGAAAAGCGTTCAGTTAGTCAGACCAAGTTATTTCAACTCTTGAGAAAATCCCTTCATATCATAACACAAAACAGTTGAAAAAACAAAAGTTATAACACACAACAACCTAATATTACCACAAAACAACCTAATCTGTTATAACCTTTTCTGTAACACAAAACAACCAAATTTGTAACACAAAACAACCAAATTTGTAACACAAAACAACCTAATCTGTAACACACAAAACAACCATAATATTATACTTGTAATGAAAGCTATGTTTTTTTTTATCTTTAATGGAAGCTAGTGTTAGCATATTATAAAGAAATACTTGATATAAAATTATAATGCTTCGAATATTGTAACACAATGGAACCTAATCTGTAACACACAAAACAACCATAATATTATACTTTTAATGAAAACTAGGTTTTTATCTTTACTGGAAGCTAGGGTTAGTATATTATAATGAAATGCTTAATATAAAATTATAATGCTTCGAATATTGTATCCTCGTTATCATGCTTAATATGGCATTCTGGTCGAATTATATTGAATTTGGACGAATTCAAATGAGATCAGATCTAGTTACTGGAAGAAAAACTTTTGATGTCATAAAAAATGTAAAAACTGTACTATATGTAAGGAATACTACCTCTCAGAATGGTCAATAAGAGTATATATCTATCAATGGACCTATCTGATGTCATAACTATACAACAGAATCCTTGAACAATCAGATTAATACATAAAACTACAAGTAATTTGTGAAAAACGCTTATGTCAAGAAACAATGTTAGAACTACAAACTTTCAGCAGATAACATATGTTTGGTATATCAATTTACATGTGTCAGTCGTGAAAATGAGATTCCTAATTAAAATGGTTACAGCTCATTGTGGAAATACAGTTTTCACAATTATGCTGTTAATAAACAAGTAAGAACGATGTTCTAGTCATAGCCTTAAAATTCTCTTTAACACGGGTCCCTATTCAATTATGAGTGAAACTCTTACGACTTATAAAATGATTTACAAAATCTAATGTAGACAGAACAAGGACAACTTTTACATTAAAAGGAAAGTCAAACGAAATTATTTCTTTTCATTTGAATTTAGCTTGATTTTAGCTTCTTTTTTTAAAGTCAAATGTAAAGTCTTTACTCCCTTATTTTGATGTTCATTTCAATAATAACATTATTTTGATATCGTATAATATACAAATTGATGCGGGCATTTTCAAACCAAAATTTCAGCTTGATCAGCAGACGTAGTGTTTGACCTTTAACCTCGATCAAATTAAACTTTGGTATAAATATCGTCATTTAAAACACTACTAGCTCTTTTAAAAGTAATCGTCAAAATGGCCACTTGGTCCTTCAGAATGTTCCAATTACCTTTTCTCCCATGTATTACCCCACTGACAATGCCAGGAAACACAGTCTCTTCATTTAGATTCTCTGCATGCGGTGCCACTAAAATGTTCCTATATTGTGGTTGCTCCGGCAAGCCAACCGGCACCACAAACGCTCTGGTCAAACGCAGTAACTTTTCGTTCCGCGAATGCAGTTGATGTTCGTTCGAGTTCGTTCTGTTAAAACTGCTCTGAAACTCACGAGTAGAGTTAATGAAAAAGTCAATTTCATGATTCAAAGAAGCTAAATTAATTTCAGCCTTCCTAAATTCATTTTCGTATGTTAGCAAGGAAGCTTGTCCCAAGTGTATTATATGAATATAGTTAGTGATATTGAATGGTAATAGAGCGGAATCCGCCAACTGAAGCACGATATCGGCCAATATTTGATTAACAGCAATATGGCGGGTAAAGTTAGTATCGATAAACGTTTCAAGATAGTCTAAAGTATCATCAAGAGTACTGTACACTGGGTAGGTAGGAAGATTGGGATATCTATTAGTATCGTAAGTATAAGAAACTGACATGGAAGGCACACCGACATGGTAAGAAAATGGCGATTGATCACTGTCGCCTGCTAATCCATTAATTTTAGGTCTATCATGAAACACATCACTGGGAAATCTGTTTTTCCACATTTCATACACAGTCGTGGATTGGAAATCAGGGTCAACACATTTCACTGTCATGGCGGCATTATAAATAACGTCATACAATAAGGGACTGCTGTCAGCACTAAAACTATAACTTCCCCGGATGACGGAATCCAAATTGATGTAAGCGACAGCACCGGCACTCAACTGTTGCTCATACTCCTGTACCCATTCGTACGATCCAATGTGACCATATTTGGACGCGTCCCAAAAGGCGAAAATGATGGTTCGCCTCGGACGCCAACCAGCCATGACCTGATCTGAAAATGTTCTGGCAAGATCCATTAAAATTGAGAACCCCGTACCAGAGTCCACAATGCCTTGAGTCCAAGAATCAATATGGCTTCCCACAATTACGAACCTGTCAGGCTCGATTTTACCCCTCAGGGAAGCGATGACATTTGTGATGTTCCTTTTCTCTGGGGCATTTGTCACTGTCATTTCCACGAGGTGTTGATAATCCGTTTGACCACGCTTCACACCGGCATAGTATTTAGATTTTAATTTTCCATTCCAATGACGTGGAACGGGCACTGTCTTATCAATAAGTGACATTAGCTTGTCAGCATCGCTGTACATGATAGGGTACACTGGGATAGATGGGTAAAGGTCGCTCACGGTTTTATCATAGGAAGCACTATGAACAGCTGTATAGTCAGGGGTACCCGGGTCCCCGACTAAATTATAACGAACATGAGATAGCTGGACACCCCAACTGGGTAACCACCAGGTACCCTCGACACCATCCGTACCGTCGGTGTATTCCGCTGGGTCACAATATAATATTACTCCCACGGCACCAGCTTGTTCCGCATGTTTGACTTTATTACCTGGATGTATTCGACCATAGCGTATCAGAACAATACTGCCGTTGACCTCAACGTTCAGTTTATCTAATGCTTGAAAATCCTCCGTGCGACCGAAATGGCCATAAACAAGGGGACCCTTTACCACACCACTTTTTGCATAGGCGTTAAACGGAAGATACGCTATGAGCACATTTGAAGCATTTGAATGGGAATGGAAGACTGTTGAATTGCTTTCATCATACACAAGAATTTGGTTTGTTTCAGTATAATTTGGATAAGACAATTGCACAAAATAATTTTTACGTTTGACTGTGTCGAAATGAAAAGTGTTCCACATATCAACGACATATTTGATAAGTCCTACTAAATTGCCCATACCCGATAGTCGAATATGTGATTGAGATATCAACAGTTTAATGCTGTCGATGTAATTATCTACATGCGTTACGCGTGACTGCAATTCTTGGCTAATAGTAACGTTATAATCCTGTATAACCTCTCTCGGCTCGATTCCAGTCATGAGATGTATTGTTTTTCCGGCGCTCTTTTGTCCGAAATATCCAAGAACGAGTCCCAGTACGAATATCAGCACTAGAATTAATATCTTTAATACACATCCTTTAGTTCCTGAAAAGCACTCAGCGATCATAGACTGTGGTCTGGGTTGATCTAAGTTCTTATACTCAATGTCAATATTGTCGGAATCGGCTTCCCACCTCGATACAGGTTTACCCGGTGTATATCCTCTCGACATCATATCAGACACTGACTAGTTCCTTTATCCTTCTCACAATTCAAATCTCAGTCTTGAGTATAACCTCATACATTATTATTGTTAAACGCGATCGATTTTCTTGAGCGTATTAGTAGTTACAACTCACATTTAACGGTCGCCATTTTCCACCATTGACATTGAATACACCACTACACATAATACAAGTAGTGAATCATTCTCCACTGTACACGAGTTGCCATTCATTCAATGCTTTATACTCAAACCAGTCCGTACAATCCGCCCGTGCTCGTTTAACACTAATATAATCATTTTTGTCATTATCGAAACGAAAGTTTCAATCTAACACACGATAGTGTAATTAAAAACGCCATTCTCGGCCGCTGATCGATCCGTAAGATATCATTTTTCCGCCTGTCTATAAACGTGACAATATACACTATGAATAATTAATGCACGATTGTTTACATTACGAGTTACGTCCCTTTGTTGTTCGAGTTTTCTCCCTTACCCTTTATGGCCCAACTGAGATTTCTACCTTTCAGAAGATAAGCACTACCAGGGGAATTAAAAATTATGGGTTATGAATTATACAAATCGTACAAGGTTTGTCAATTATTGGAATTATTTAATGGGAATATCGTTTACGTACCGGTATATTAATAAATATCTGACGTATACTGCGGGAGATATATCATGAATTATTCTTTGATGTTAGCCTACTAAAGATAGGGGGTGGACTAAAGGGTCGGACAACCGGAAAAACCAAGAAAACCCATCGGAGTTGGGGCTTAGAGTTGCTCACTCCGTCTCTAATAGGCCTAAGTTTGTTCATTCATATTGTGGGCTATATTGAGAATGACAAGGTATTCGATCATCCTGAATTCATCGCACCTGCTGGTGAAATGAAGAATTATTCATAGGTTACTACATTAATCAGCAAGGTTATTTATTGCCTTTGTCTGGGATTCATTTTCATGTTTTTTTTTATGTTAAAATAGCATGTCTGTCAAATTAAATTTCCGTGCATTCGAACAATGTCGGCATAATAAGTACTTTGTTTTTTAAGAAATTGAAGCAGGTTTCCTCATTCAGAATTTCGTTGGATTGACAAAAAAGATTCACATTCTGTATTATCAATTAAAAGTTTTAAACTTACTATTTTTCTCTCGGTTGGACCTCGATTGAGGAAAATATAACCAGTATCAGTCTAATTGTTCTTACCATCTTTAACGTGCAATAGCGACAGCACACGGGACCTTAGTTTATTGTTCCATCCGAACGATTAGAAGCCTCTTCCATACCAGTCCTCCGACCAGCATCACTATGACGGGGAAACGCTGTAAAAAAAATCAGAAGATACTATCTCAAGTCATGCATTGTTTCTCATTAATATTATGCTATTGAGTGTTTTATTTGCTTCAAAAACTAATATTCATTATCGCTATCAGAGCTTGAAATCACATTATGATTCAATTTTTCCAATCGTAATAATTACTAAGGGAGAAAACTGAGATACACATAAATAATATATGAGATGATAAGATTCTACAGGAATAAGGAATCCAGTGCTATAATCGTTAATTACTTTTATCATATCACGGATACAACTAGCTCTCTTCAGATTACGTTATAGGCACAACGACAGCCTTCTGGGGTTATATTATTGTCGAGAAAGATGGTCATAAATAATTTCAAGATTTTTGTTATTCAAAACAGAAAGAGTTTAGTTGAAAACAACGCTAAACGACTCGTAAGATACTTGAAAACAATGTCAACCTGACTGAAACTGAAAATCATTGTTAACATAAGCATTGTTTTGCAGTTCGGATCAATAGTACTTGGACCTTTTTCGATAGTATTATAAGTATTATGACTCGTATGACCCTTAATGGCGTATTATTTCATAATATACGTGGATTGCAATTCGGTTCAAGTTGAGCGAACTGTTCCTATTACTCAAACCTACTTCAACATACATCATATTACTAGATCAATCCACGTATAATATTGGTCTTAAGAAGTCCTTTCAGTTAATCCGATAATCTGTAATTTGTGGACCTTTGGCTTTTAATCCGTCGATTAACTAATCACAATAATCTCGTTCAATCCTCTTCTAAAAGATAAGCTACCTGTAACAAACTGTCACACCAGCCCAATTCCGCCATTGTTTCATTAGTCACAAATCTCGTTAAAAGATACACAATTTTAGATTCTTTACAGGGGGTCATTAAGATAGTGTAAAATTTCAAACGAATTACCGGTCAGAAATTCATAAAAAGGTGTTCTTTTTACAAACTAAACCGCTAAATAAGATCTTAATCTGTTGTGATTATAATGCAAATAGAAAGATGAGATTAAAAAAGTTCTAAAACTATGTTTAAACTACGAATTAATTCTATAATTTGATACTGCCTACATCAATATTTTGGTTATTTCATTGTTTCAGCGAATCCTACCAACTGTCGTGTTACCAAGTATTGTCAGATGGGTGCATGGGTCTATAATTGTAACAAACACGAATACAAGTTTTGATTCAATGAAATACATAGGCAAAGATAAATAGTCTTCTCGTTGTAGAATTTTTCAAAATTATAGATAATTGAGATGAAGCTATATTATTTAAATATTGATAAGGTTGCAAAAACAATGAATAAAAACAATGAATAAAAACAATGAATAAAAACAATGAACAAAGTGCATCTTCAAAAGCAACCCATTGGCGTCAAAGTTTCCTTGAAACAAACGAAAGTGTACATGTATATAATTTTAAATCTAAAAGCTTTATAAAGACAATAACTTTTTCAACATCTTTTGTCAAAATCAAATCCAAAGGCGTCCATGTTTTGTTAGAATAAAATTGCTAACAACCCTAACTTGCCCACTAGAATAATTGACTATATTTAAGGCTTGTTGAAGGTATAATTTCGATAGACAAACACCACTGTAATTATAGATATCCACGAACACTATCTGATCAAATTAATTTTGATAACAGCTCGCTTTTGATTCTTCATCCTTTTCTGTATTGTTGATCGGTGAACCTCGTGGCCAAATAAGCGACCTGAAATCAGATAAGCAATTTTGATCAATAGATCAAACCTTTTTTAAAAACTTTTTTTGTCATTTATATCGTTAGAAAATGGTTGAATTAATTAATTGAATAGAAACATTGGCATCAAATATGAGAGGAAATTGTTGAATCGTTGTGTGTATTAAGACAGTGGATTGTTATGTAGATACCCACAATGTATCCATATTTGAAAGTTCGTTTTCGTTTAAAATCATTTTTCTAAACTCTCATAAATTCGAAAACTGAAATTAAATCTTCAAATGGCAGCTGATTTCATTGAAAATTTATGGACTTTTTGCAAGAAAAACTACATGAATTTCGTGAATCAATGTGAAAGATGTATATTGTGGGATAGTTAACTTTTCACAAAATCGCAGATTACTGCGACCATTTCTACTACTATTAAATGAAATCGCAAGAAAAACCCATTAATTTAACAATGATAATCTAATTAGCTAATTGATATTAACGGCATTTAAAAACTTTCAAATTAGTTTACACTTGTTGCTCGTCTGTGTGGAGCCACGGGCAAACCTGTGACCAACCCAAAACATGACACGCCAACAGGTGGTAGGGGACACAGGCAAATATACACTTCATATCAGATTTTGATCAAAATTCGAAGTTTCTGCTGTGGTTGACTTATATGGACATTCAAGTACATTTTCTTGCTTCATCTTGTGATATATGTGCAGGCAAATGAAAATAATATCGACGATGGTGGTTATACTTGGCAGGAAGGCTTCGATCTAAGGAAAGAGGATGCAATGGTGATGAATGGCGAATCCAAGAATTCAGGCACTACTTCAAATGTCACTGACAAATCGAGTTCAAAACACCTGACATAGCTGACATGACCAAACGTAGTTTCAAGTGGTCTTTAACCCATCTCATTATAGATGATGTAACGTTTGAAGACATTGTTCCCCACCACTTAAGATACTGTATTTGTCTTTGATATCTGCTAACTGATAATGCTAAGATAAATTCCTTGGTGGGGTTAATTTAGCTCTATAATACAATATGCACACATAGGTTACAATGCAAGGAACAAATCTTAGTTACAAATTTGTTTGGTTGCTTGTCATAAACATGAGACTTTATGGAAGCCATTGTTGACCAATTTTGATTAAAAGTTTCAATAAAATTATATGCCATAACCTAATATACATGTAAATATCATGAAAAAAAACCCCAACAAATTTTACGTTCTTTTCTGCACCTGAACCTGCTTAATTGGAAATGTCCGCAGTGCGTTATGAGGGAAATTTTGCCATGAATAAGCAGCATAGAGAATTATCATTGAAATGAATGGAACACGCTAGCGAGGCTATATCCATGGAATTTGGCTGTAAGTTATTCAATTTGTACAGATACTATTCCCAATGTTAGAAGTCGTCGATTGATTTTGACACAAATTAGCTGATGCTTCACCTTATCTTAAGATTTTGCCAGTATTCCTTTGAATCAGCATTTAAAAGATAAAATGAAATTGACTTTTTACACAGTGGCGGAGCCAAAGGGGGGGAGAGGGGCAGAGGGGGTAGCCACTGCTTTTACGTTCTACTATTCTCGTAGGTTAATTTACCACAGCCTCCTTTGACTAGGTATGAGTCTGACTTCGACTTGCAACGTCTAGCGCATTTGAAAATGATAATGTGAACCAAAAGTTTTCAACTTTTTACAATATTGGCAATGAGAATAGTTTATTAATTACTGACATGGCTTGATAGAACCATTGTGGAGCCAAACCAAATCTTACTATAGAAATATGACATTTTGCAATGAAAAAGAAAGAAAAGAGCAACAACGCATAACGTCAATAACACCATTAACGTTGGCGATAGACGTCATCATCTGATTTCTACAGTCGATTGGGCAGAACCTTCAAAATAATTGAAATCTATTTTCAAAATCTTACAAACTCTCTCAGCCAATCGTCACGGTTATTTGGTATTTGATGTCTTTATCGTAAACGTAAAGAAAATAGCGGTTTCATCTTATGTTTTACAGAGAACAATTAAGATATACAGGTCACGCTAGGATGACCCCCATATAACTTTTTCAATAATGACTTAACTTATTGAAAAGAGCCCATTGTAATTGAGTGGTTGGGATTATATTAAACAATAGAAACAATGACATATATTGACAAGCAAAAGTAGAAAATGGCCCGTTAACACATTGAGCAAATCCTCTCCAAATCAGTCGTTGCGCAAGTTTAGGTTAGTGGCCTTACGACAACTGGATTTAATCCAACAGTTTGAACAGTTGACGAAGGAATATATACAGCAGAGTGGATACATAACAGGGTGATTTAGCTTTATCTAAGTCGTATGTTTAATAAGGGATAAACCACACAAACTTTGTTAGGTCATGATATAATTTGGTGGTAAAATGTGTAGATTGGTGTAAAATAGGGAGCCGTATATCAGGACCAGTTGAGGTGCTAGTTGATCATCATCTACCCAGACAGTCAGTCGAGAAGGTTGTGAAAGATCATTGGAGCTTCAACATTGGATACTACCGTTCATATCACCAACTGAGGCTAGAGTTTTTATACCAATAACCGAATCTTGACATTCGGGATAATTTTTGACAACTGGATGTCTAAGGGAACCGTGAAAGTAATTGTCGACAGTAAGTGTTGAGGACACCGGTGTGAATTATAAATGATGTAAGAGAGAAAACGTGACGTTTTTTTACAGAATACAAAAAAACTATCCTAACTGTAAATTGCTTACTTGCCCCATCGGAGGTGTGAATAACTGAACCCAGGAAGCCGTTTCATAGTCAATTTGGGTCTTATCTTAAGAAGTGGATTTAACTACACGTGTTTCCATAATCGGTCAGATCGTATCGAGGAGCTTATGACACGACCTTATTGGAGTTAGTAGTAGCAGGAGACTTCAGACTCGTGGTTCACCGAAGTGCAATTTGGTTGACGTTGATGTAAGGATTTAAAAGTTCGGGAAACCACCAAGATGATACAACTGGATAATCTCAGACCCGTCCATAATGCACAAGGTAAGCTATAGGATCGATGTTACGGTACCATTTTGTGTATCTGTCATATTTGTAGATTGTATCAATGTTTATTGAGGTACTGTTATAGACGCACTGGCCTAGGTCACAAGTATTAGGTGTTATAGGATACACTGCTATCTAGCATGGAAATAGACCAATACAATAAGAAGACTTGTTAAAGAATAGAGATCCTTATCGAGAGAAGTCTTAGGATCTGTCAGTTATGAAATGTCTTTCAGTGACACGGTCTTGCACATGTTGTCATGGGCAGATCAAACGATTCTGTTCTTCATAAAATTATCTGGAATATCTACATACACTCTACCATGCAACTGTTATCCATTTCAAAGCTGCCAACAATAATATATTGCGATTGCTGCTTCCTGTGGCAGAGCCTTGTTTTCTGAATCCTTAGCAATTGTTTCAGAATAGAACTAGTATAGCATTGAAGCTTATCGCTTATGCTTTTTTGATGTTTTTGGACGATCGTATCAAGTTATTTCTTTAGTTTCAATCAAACTAATATAAATTTGGGAGATTGATGAGGTAGAAAATGTTGAAACTCTTGTAATGCGGGCGTAATACCATTCTTCAATTAAAAATATAAGACTTTTAGCGTAATTGAGCTATCTTATCGGATGTATATATTGTAATATAAATTTATTGATATAATCTACTCAAAGATTAACGATTATCATTAATATTAATTAATATTATATTGTAGAATATACAACTAATATACTTTATTTTGATTAGTATACCATATCTACTATATACTCAATGATTTTGATAATAAGACTTACTTGACTGGTGTTACCCTAATACCCAAATATTTATTTTAGACAGACGTTAACTTCTATACTTGGCATGCCTCCATTGAGCATGAAACACATCAGTGACATTAAACTTAGATGTACGACAAGCTTTGATTGGTTTAAAAAGAACATTATTAGAACGCGACTGCGATAGAAAACTTGATAGATTACATTTGAGACGGAAAAATATAAGAAAAATAAGAAACGAATCCAAAACGCCATCTAGTGACAATTCTTAAGCAAATGTGAATGAATAAAGACACTATTGTAATGCTTTTGTCCACTCACTTTCAATATATTGGTACAAAAATAATACAAAATGTTTGGTCATTGTTAAAGTGTGACAAACATGTAAAAATGTCAATATGTAAAGTCATCCGTTTTAGTTTAAACGATAAACCTTCAATAATATGATTTAATAAAGCCAGAAGGTGATGACATCTTACATCATTTGTTTTTCTTTTTCAGGATTAGGACATTACGATCCTCCCCATACACATACATCAAATACGTCACCGCTAGCCATAACACATACCAGTCGCCCCAACTTACCCACCGGCGATATACAACATAATGGCTTAATTCATTGGAATCACGCCCAAACTACAAATTATGATAAACAAGCCACAACTTATGACCAACAATCAACTGAAAAATCAGATGACGACGAAGATGAAGATGATGGTAATTGTTAAATTGATTAATTAATTGATGGTTTAAAACAATGATGGCGCCATCACCGACGTAATCTGGGCGCTACCCAGCCTAACTTGTTTTAAAACAAATTTTTCTCATTAATTTTTTTATATTGATCAGCTGACCGCTTTTAATACAAATTTATCTTGTGACAAACTTATATCTATCAGTTATTCGGCATATCAAAACAGATGTTTGCTAGCCTGTTGGTTCTGACATAGGTCGAACCATCATTATATTTTCCCTTGTCGGTGATACAGGTCAGCTTCAGTATGTGCACGTTAAAGATCCATAAGGAATTGAAAATCAGAAAAAAGCTTATTCTATCCCTGACGAAATTTCCTTTCATTAATATCCACATATCTGGAAACCAAAGTCGATAACGGACGCAATACATCTTGGTAAATTATCAAATCTCATATTGATTAATGTTTTTTTTAGAATACCGACCCTTCACCCCACCACCACCGAGAGAAAGACTAAGTTACACCAGGTACCAGCTAGAATTACTCAGTGGAATATATGAAAAAGTTCGCTACCCAAACAGCACCCAGAAACAACTGATTGCAAAACGTGTTGGAATCACCAGGGAACAAGTTAAGGTATGTGGCTTTGATGATACATTGACAAATTAAAGGAATTGAAAAGAGGTTTCTAAACTTTTGGTGCGTATTAGGGACACTGATAGCGTTGATTTCACCACTTCAACTTTCAATCAGTCTGTGGGTCGTCCAATTCCACATAAACTAAGCGTTTAATTACGGCGCTATCGCATAGACATTTAGATTGAGCATACTCCTTATTAAAATGCCGGTTTTTGTCGTTTTAGATTTGGTTCCAGAACAGGAGACGGAAAGATGTTATCAATAACCCTAAATCAAAGGACAAAGATGATTCATCCAATCCACCTACGAGTCCCCCACAAAACGAAACCAGTTCTAAATGTGATTCGAGCGACAAAAGCTCCTCCTCTCCAACGTCAAGCGAAGTTGATGGTCCAAAAATGGTACCCAATGTTGTTCTTAAAAGTGTAATCAATGAACTTGAGAGGTTTGAAAAGACAGTTTTGAAATCAAAAAAGACCAAAAAGAAATCTAAGCAAAAGCAGCAAAAAATTCAGCAGCAACAGCAACTTCAGCAAAAGATGGCTGCAATCGCAGCCGCAGCAGCCACAGCAGCCACAGCAGCCGCAACAGCCGCATCGACATCTTCCGTCCAACAAGTACCAGCATCAAGCAGAGTTAAAGGTGTATCTCTGTTCAATGCTTACGATATGATCTCACCACCAAACAAAGTGATAACGCCAGGTTTTCTGGACACAACAGTGAACCGATTCAGTCATTCCAAATCGTCCTCAGCTTTCCAAGATCCGAAATCTTCCTCGGACCAAAACACATCACCAACGCTGGTTCAGGGTTATCAACAGCTTCCAAACCCCATCTCTGTCTTACCAAACGAATATTCATCGCACAATTCTACAGTGATGACACCGCATCTCAACAACCAACCAAAAGGACACTCGGTGTTTGAAAATATCCCAGTCTTGGCTGACTTACTTGGGTACAGACCAGGTGATAAAACACCCAAACAACCAATGGGACATACATTTAGCCCGCATCATCCATTTACCTCTCCGCGAAATAATTCTGATCGTTGCTACAGTGATATACCAGGTAGCGTCAATCATGGATCGTTAGGCGTGAACCGCGTATTCCCATTTCCGTTTATAGCAGATGCTCCAGTTATGTTATCGTCTGTTCGACATCCCGATCCATATCGCCCACCAGTTCATTACCTGCATCACCAACATACAGAAGATCCTTACCAACCGTTCATGATATCTTCCTTCAGTAATCCATACTATTCCACATCCGCGGCACCATCACAAACATGGCCGCCACAACAAACGCCATCTAGTGACAATTCTTATACAGCAGGTGCTCCCGTTTTATGATGAATCGGATATGCTATTCTGCTAATATTTTTTAATTTATTTACAACGATGTGTCTTAAGGTTTGTATTCGAAACGATGTTTTGTTCTCAAACGACTCGATGTTATACTCAACGACTCGATGTTATATTCAACGACTTGATGCTATATCAACGAATCAATGCTAATTCAACGACTTAAACGACTTGATGTAATATTCAACGACTTGATGCTATATCAACGAATCGATGCTAATTCAACGACTTAAATGACCCGATGTTATATTCAACGACTTGATGCTACATCAACGAATCGATGTTAATTCAACGATTTGATGTAATATTCAACTGTCCTTAATTGCTCTTTATAAGCCTTTGTTTTCGCTGGATTGCTGAAGACCAATCATGAAAACAACTCTGAGCTTGTTATATTTTGATATGTTTGTTTGTTATGTTGACGAGGTAAGATGATGCTAGTCTATGTATATATCAATTTTTGTTTATTTTTGATAAAAAAATCTACATATTTACATAAAATTGACTTTGTATTTTATTAGTGAAGCGTGTACGCATTTAGCTCTGGTGGTGAAACTAAATGGGGTGGGTCCTAGTCACGAAAAGAATATTTTCTGGTCACTCCTGAGTTTTTAGGGAATGACCAGAGCAGTGGGGTACAGGAGTGGGGGCATTTGCAGCAGAAAAAGCGTTTGCACTTAATTTTTTAACAAAGTTTAAAAAATGCTTTTTATATGCTTTTGTCCCAAAATATGTGAACCAATTCACTTCAATTTTTTGAAAATTTCGATGCTCTAGGCTTGCGACTATGACGAATGCTCCCTATTTGTACCCCCAGTATCGGGAGGCTGACGCCTCCACTGGACCAATATAGACATAACATTATGTTAATATACAAAATTGCGCTATTTATATATTGCATTGTTTATTTACATTGTTTATCACAGTTAGAATATATATTAAATTGACAATGTGACTGACATATACATTCATATATACATTGCAGCTTTAAAGAGATTGCAAACAGATTTTCGAAAAACTTGTATATGTGTATCGAGGGACACTGATAGCACCATTCAAATCTTTAGTCAGAGATCTGTGATTCGTACAATTCAGCCAAAACTAAGCCTCTTATAACGAAACTATCACAAAAATTGTTAATAATATCTAAGGGCCACGTCCTAGTTTAAGTGCAATTGCAAAGCTCGCAGAAGTCCACTAAAAACTGAAATGGTGTAAATCGAAACTATCTGTATCGAAGATACACATACATTTTTTAGAAATCATCTTACAATCCCTTTAATAAACACACACATTCAGCTTTTTTTTTAAATTAAAGCACCATAGAAAGCAAATAATGTACAGTATATCACTATTATTAGTTGATACATGCTGATTTGTCAGAATAAACATTTGACTTCGGTAATTGATAAAAAAAACTGCAATTTATCTCAGTGGTGGAGTCCATTAAAGCTTTTTTATATTAAAAGAATTGTAAATGTCTGAAAAAATGAACAATATTCCCTACTATTTTATTTTTTTTCTGATTTAATTAGTAATTGTCTAAAGTACTGCAGGTTAACAGCAGTTCACTTTCGATTGTAGACAAACTTGACTGCAGATGTTCATTTTCAAGAGTGTTACAGAGAGCTGAGTTCTATCAGCAGGTAAAATGCACAGTTAGACAACAATACCCTTTAAGACAATAAATATTTATCTATGTAAGATACAAGATAGAGTTCTGAAGACTAAAACAAAGAATAAAATATTGAGCACTGATAGAAAAGAAAGAATCAAAATATTTTATACAAAGGTAACATCTAAGGTTCACTAGGATCCTGTCTACCAGCTGATCCGTAGCTAAACCTCTTACTTAGCATTGCTCTCTCTTGGATTACAAGAACCACTTTACAGCTGGGTCAACTGGAATAGTCAGAACGGACGCTTGATTAGAATCCACAACCAACAAATGCCTTCTAACAGCTAGCCTACATACAAAAAACTTAGTGATTTCACTAACACTGTTCATTTTACTTCAAAAATGGTAAAAGTAGATTTCAATTTGTGCTGTGTAAGCAATACGTTTCAGGGACTTTTAATTTCAGAAATAAGCATTGAAACTACTGATTTTGATGAAGGGATGGCACAATAATATAAAAACATAACAAACAAACCATATCTAATAACTTATTAAAATCAACTATAATAGAAATTTTCTAAACAATATATACATAGTAAACTAAAAAAGGGGAAATGTCATAAAAAAAAATAAAGAAATTTTTTTTTCACATCAGCTTTTGAGTTTATTTCATTATTTAATCTTTTGGACTAAACTACACAATATACTATATGTTGAATCATTTTGGTTTTTATAAAATCTTACACATTTATTCACAACTAGTGTTCTGTGTGGGTTAAATCAATAAAAAATTATCCAATCAGGAGTCATATCATTATCATTTGAACGACATTTAGGAGCAGATATAACAAATAAATACATTATGTTATAGCACACTTCTTTTCATCTGATGACGACACGTGAAAATTGTGTTGAAACGTTACGTACTTTGTTATTAAAGAAGTGAATCATACCATAATATATTCTCTTGTGTTTTTGATATATTTAGGATTATTTTAAAGTTATGATGGTTCAGATAGGTTCAGATAATATATTATCTAGAATATTAGACTAGACCATGTCACTTTGGTGTTGCAGACTTAATTCTGACCCATATAAAGAATTTATTAATATTAAAAAAAATGCTGTTGAAATCTGATCTATTTCTCATCTCCCTTCCATTTTTCTTCATCTTCTTTCTTAGATTCCGGTCTCAGTTGATTTCTCATTCCACCTAAAACTTTGGATGTGGCCTCTGATGCTATGATTACTGGTTTAACAATTGTGGGTGGGATCTGTCTCAAAACTCCGCCTACAACACCTGTCAATCCTTTTTGTTCCTGTTCTTCTGTAGCAGCTCTCACCAAGTTATTAGCTGCATCACCAAATCCCTGTAAAATTTTGAAAAGTTTCAAAATAATTGTGACTTTGCTTTAGACCTAAAGGATTTAAATAATTTTCTCTTATTCTGATTTATGTTCTTAATATACATTTTTTTTACACAGTTTTTATCTTTAATCATGACAAAAGCAAGACTGTCTACTCCAAGGTACAGAGTAAGCATATGGGTGTATTTTTAAAGTGTTGATTAGTTTATTGAGGTTAAAAAACTGCGCATTATACTCACAAATATACTGTATACAAAATTTCCAACTAATATCATGTTTTTTGTCAAAATTCTTGTTTTTTTTTTGTAAAATATACAATGTTCCTATTACTTATTTTCATAAAATGTTCAACAAAATATCACATTCCCTATAGATTTTATAAATTATTTACAATGTTCATATGACCCAAAATGTTCAACAAAAGTTATGTTTCCAATAGATTTTGTGAAAAATTTACAAATGTATTACCTCTTTAATAACAATATAAGCATTGTTAACACCTTCTCTCAAATCAGAGGGCTGACCTTTACGAATTCTATGAGTCATAAACCTTTTATGTTTAAGTTTTGGCTGTCTGACACTAGGTCCTGGTGATAACATATCATAGGTTAGCTCTGCTACATACTGTAATAAAATATTGAAAATTATTTACAACCAGTGTTTTAACAAATAAGATTCGAATGCTACTAGTATTCAACTACAAATACTAACTTTGATATAGCTTTTAAATACTATAGGCCTGTTAGCGACCCCTTTCTCTGACAACTAGACACATTAAGATAGTTACTTACTTGGAGATTAGGTACCTCTTCAAGGTAAAAAAAAATCTGATGCCACAGCCAGTGCTTCTGAGAGTTGACCCACTGACTGCTTTCAACCCCTATCACCTACTTTTGAAGAATTTGGAACACAAAGTGAAATTGTAGTCAATATTGCATATAAGTAAGACATAAACTGAAGTGTCTACCTGTATAGAAAGAACCAGTTTATTAGTTAACTCTAACAGAGCCATAGCTGTTGATGTTGTAAATGAACTAGCACCTCTCTGAAGACCTCTCACTATTCTACCATCTTTCTTATACTGTTCTACTGGCAGCCAGAATAAATCTTTTATACCATGAACTAGAATAACATCATTCCAAAAAGGTGACTCCAGTATTTATCAACTTTATTTGAAAGTGACTTAATCTTTTCCTATTGTAAGTGTCCCCAAAAAGGATCAATCTTACAGGTTTTGCATGGATTATTGATGAGATCTGCAGCACTTCTTGAGCAGAAACTCAAAATAAGTAAACACATAAATATAATATCCTTGAAAAGACTCTTCAAAATATAGAATTTAGCACCAATGAATAAGAAATGAGATACTTTTTGACATTTAGCAAAACATAAGACCATATTACCTATTTGAACAAAAGAATGCATGGGTCCTACACCACCCAATATACTTGGCAGTTGGTTTCTTCTGATGTCTGTTAACCATTCATGTGCTGAATAGGCCAGAACTTTATCCATACCCAATAAACTGAAAATAACAAGGTCAGAGAGTAGCAGGACATTTATCATAGTGTATCATACTTTACCAGCAGATTTCCTTCCCTTCTAGGCCATCTTTATCCTTAAAATTCTTATTAGCTTTCTACAATCAAATGAGTCTAATATAATGTAACAGCAATGAAACAACTAAACATAAGTTTATAATTCACAAATAAATCTAGTATAGAGGTTACATATAAGTTTGAGTGTGTTTTGTACAGTTGAGCGAGATATTAGAGTACATTATTCTAATCCGTGAAGATTCAAAAGATAAATACTTCTTGTAGTTTAGTTGAGACAATAAATACTTACCCATGTTTATAATTCAACCTGCGTAACTTTAATTCTGAAGAGTTTAGTTGAGCTAAACCTGCTAACAGACCAGCTAGTGTTCCCTGAAACAAAGCAAGAAAATACCTCAGAATTAACTCTTAAATCTTGAGGACAGAATTACTCGCACTCTCTATCTAGAACCATCATGCAATCAAATTTTTAAGGCAACCAGACCAAATAAAGTTCAATAAACTATCAGTGACCTTTAAGGTTGAGTTTAGTACCAGAATGACAAACCTGTTGCATATCCAATCTTTTACCATGATAGTCTAATTTTATATGTACATCAGGAGAAAATATAAAGGTTCTGAAAAATAAACAACATTATTATATGAGGATTAAATAACTTCATGATTTAAAAACTTTGAGCACTACAAATTGAAACAGTGTCAAATCTGAGCGTGCATCCTGGAATAAATTGTGAGCTACTCTGCCAAATGAAAGGCAAACTGTAAAACCTCAGCCAAACTTTACTATATGAGCCAGACTGTGTCCTATATGAGCCAAACTTTACCATATGAGCCAAACTTTACCATATGTGCCAAACTTTACTATATGCGCCAAACTTTACTATAGGAGCCAAACTTTACTATAGGAGCCAAACTTTACTATAGGAGCCAAACTTTACTATATGAGCCAAACTTACTGTATGAGCCAGACTGTGTCCTATATGAGCCAAACTTTATTATATGAGCCAAACTTTACTATAGGAGCCAAACTTTACTATAGGAGCCAAACTTTACTATAGGAGCCAACTTTACTATAGGAGCCAAACTTTAATATAGGAGCCAGACTGTGTCCTATATGAGCCAAACTTTATTATATGCGCCAAACTTTACTATATGAGCCAAACTTTATTATATAAGCCAAACTTTACTATAGGAGCCAAACTTTACTATATGAGCCAAACTTTACCATATGAGCCACAACTTTACTATATGAGCCAAACTTTACTATATGCGCCAAACTTTACTATATGAGCCAAACTTTACTATATAAGCCAAACTTTACTATATAAGCCAAACTTTACTATATGAGCCGAACTTTACTACATGCGCCAAACTTTACCATATGCGCCAAACTTTACTATATAAGCCAAACTTTACTATATGAGCCGAACTTTACCATATGCGCCAAAGTTTACTATATGAGCCAAACTTTACTATATGCGCCAAACTTTACTATATGAGCCAAACTTTACTATATGAGCCACAACTTTATTATATCAGCCAAGCTTTACTATTATGAGCCAAAGTGTACTATATGAGCCAAACTTTACTATAGTATAGCCACAATAAAAGTTTGGCAATTAACATTTAAGAAAGTATTTAAATCACAAACTTACTTGATAAAAACGGGTTGACTCTCTGTTTCACCAGCATCTGAAGACTCTTCTGATAACTTAGCTTGTAAAGCTTCATCCTGCTCTAATGTCATTTCATCAAACTTAATCAACAGTTCATCTGGTTCTGGTCCTTCTTCTTGAGTCTTGTTGACCCCCATGACAGGAGCAGGGGTGGGGGGTGATACACCTTTCGGTACATTTACTGGTTTCTGATCAGAATTGGTGGACACTTCGTAAGGATTGGATGGTTTTTCTCCAGATAATTCCATGAAGAATGTTCGTAGGAAGAACAAAGAATCCTGAAATGAAAATTTCTAGATTATATTACATACTCTTACAAGACTAGAATATTTGGTTATTTTTAACCTCATGATAAAGGTTTTGATTCAATATCATATCGCATATTGCACAGGTTTTGAAAGACATCACATCTTATGGATTTTAATAAGATTTTCTAAAATTTTAATGTGTAATGAGGACACTAAGAGCATTGATTTGCACCATTCCAATTTTCAGTCAGACATCTGTGGATCTCCGAATAAAACTAAGACACAGGTATATATAGACATTTCTATGAACAGTTATCACACATATTGGGTAGAAAAATTGAAATGATGCAAATGGAAGTCATAAATGGCAACAATACACATAAAAACAAAGCTGGGGCATCTCTTTACAATCCCTTTAAATTATAATAAGAAAACATAAAAACGAACCTGATCTATGTTCAATCGAAGTGGTAATAAACTAACTTTTAAAGCACATTCCTGACTATGTAGGTTAGGGTCTGGTCTGGTGTGTATAGCTTTGATTAATACCTAAACAACAAAAACATATCAAAATACATGTTTCTCGAAAATTCCAAATAACATTTTAGCAATACATTGGTAGCTTTTCATATGAGTAAGAATAGCAATCATAAATCAAGAAGTATTTCATCATGAAATCAGAGAAGAGTCTAGCGCCAATCCTGCCATTGCTGCTCATTAAAACAATAAAGGAAGAAAAAAATATGGAGGCAACTTGATTTGAAAATATGCAGTTCATCAGCCTTGGTAAAAGTGTATTTGGGGCCATCTTGAAAATTAAACTAAGATAAAATCAAGATGTTAAGAAATAAGGTAATTTTTTTTCGATGATAAAACTAAATTCAAGATCAATTCAAGTGATTGACCAATCGGACTGAAAAATATACATCATCTCAAGTTGATTTTGGAGAATTCAGCTCCTGAACGTACCATATTAGCATGAGTTTGTCTAGGTAATGATTCGGAGGTATATTGGTAGAGGAATTTATTAATACTAGAACTAGATAGTCTATCTCTGATCTCCACTTCGTGTATTATTAAAACTTGTCTTGAAGCTTGTACTGTATGTTGTGGATAAACATCATATTGGAAGCGTACCTGAAATTAATATCATATTCATTTGGTAATTATCTTAGGTTTCCTGCATCACTGACAGATAGATGACAATACAATTAAACAGAGGTTTCAATACTTACTTTACTAAGTTGTAGTTCCATTAAAGTATCACAGTCACGCCCTGGTCCACCTCGCATCTGCCATGATGGTTTTTTAATCACTGGTATTTCTTCTTTGGATAAACTCTTTCCGAAATCAGGTAGGTTAAATCTACAATCATGATCAAAAGTCAGATAAACTAAAACTAAGAAAATTACCAAATCAGTTGTACAGTTAATAATAAGTTTAGAGGTGGATATTTTCATTTTGGAAAAATTCACTCAAAAAGTGATAAAAAAATATGAATTTAATGTTGAAAAGATCAGAAGGTCAAGAGTAAGAGTTTCAAGCAGAAGACTGATATAAGGGTCAAGACCTGAATATTAAAGAAATGGATTGTAAACTTAAATTACCGTTTAGGTTTTGGTGAATCTCCCGATGTTCTTCTTTCTCTTCCTACAAAATATATTGATATGTTATTCTATTGTGTCATTTAGGGGTTTTTTCATTGTGGATTTAAACGTTTGTTTCTTTGGCAAGAGATCATATTATGCAGCAGAATAGAATTGGGTATTCCGTTCGTAGAGCGGTGGACAACATGCAAAAGCGGTAGAAACCCTCCAACATTGGTAGATTACACATGTATGTTTATGCTGCCAACACGTTTGATATCTAACATCCTTATCAGGGAAGAAATGTCTGGAAATAATACTCCAATTTCCAAAAGAACAAAACATAATAATCCAACAACATCATTTACAAAAGTTACAAACAAAATATACCCCTTATTTACAGGATATAACATCAACTTTCAAGATCCTAATAGCAAAGAATCATCCGAAATAAAAGGACAAAACCAATTGCAGTGGATCTAAATCAAGACAACAGACAATGATATAATACCAACCTTTAGATCTGTTGGCCATACCAAAATCTTTGCCGCCATACATGTACCATACTACTGTCAACTCTTTCAAGGTATATCTACTATCAGGTGTAGGGAAGTCATCAGGTTGTTTTAATAGATCTGTTTTACCTATTGGAGGTGCTATATAATTCTCTATAATCACTATTGGTTCATTGGTCAATGTTCTTACCGCTGGTTCACCATCTTTAGGCTGAAATAGAGGAATACACATCTTGATCAAAAGTATGCTAAGCTGACTTAAATATATTTTTGAGCTGATGTAGCTAGTTGTCAGATAGCTGCTAACATGTTGTTCTAAAAACCAATCATATCATCATATTTTCAATCAATCACCAATTCTACCAATTCTACCAATGAAAAATTGTGGAATAGCGAAAACCCAAAATAAAGCAATCTGACAGTTTCTTTGGATTTTGCTATCTCACAAGTCTTCATTGTTATTAGGAAATAGCTTCATCATAACATGCTTTGATTGGTTGAATAAAATGTCATTATAACAGGACTCTGGTACAAAACTTGTTAGATTACAAATGAGGTGAAAATTTCATAAAAAAAAAAGAAATGAAAATGTAATCTAGTTTTCACTGATTGATTAGAAAAAACTTGTTAGATTACAATTGAGGTGAAAAATTTCTTAATAAACAGAAATGAGCATCTAATAATGGTCTGTATCACCAAATTATCAAAGCCCTTTATGCGAATATACCATATACTTACAGCTATACCCCATCCAGCATCATTAATAATACAGAATTCTTCATCATCACTAAACTTCTCTGTTTTATCAGAGTACATACTACTGGACATAGAATCACTGGATGGTGATACTATCTCCCGTAAACCACTAGTTCCATATTGCCTTGATCCCTCGTTACCCTCTGATACAAAAAATATCTCACGTCTTCCCTTGTTCTCTTGTTCTGGTGATTCTATAAAAATAAATTGGAAATTAAGAAGTTATCAATGAAAGGGATTTTACCAAGATACTCTATTCCAATTTTTTAATATTTTCTACTAACATCCATATGTAATAAGCCAGTTTGGAACCTTCAGTGCACAAGTTCTAATCCTACTTCCGTTTCAGCATAAACCAAACTTGATTTTTTTTTACAGTAATTGAAAAAAATAATGCAGAGAGTTCTCTTACATCTCTTTTGGAATAAGCCAGAGCCAAACTCACACATTCAAATACCACCACCTCCTCCTTTTTAAAGCCAGGAAAAGAAAGACATTACCTGAGCCAGAAGTAGAAGGACTGGATTCTCTCATAGCATCAGCCATCATGGTATTGACTTGTTGTATACATGATTCAGTCATTTTACTGGTACTATCTGATGGTACTGATGAAGATTCACTAACATCACTGGTTAATGATAACTACAAAATACAATACCAACAATAGTTTTAGAAATAAAAGAGAGAGAGAAATACGTTTTTTAAATAGAATATTGTCCACAAACTGGTCCTAAGTTGAACACCTGGGAATTCTCCTTTCCCAGATTATTAGTTCCCATTTATAGCTTGGTTGGAATTTGAAACAAAGATGGCTCAATCATGGTCATAAGAACCCACAACTACCATCACGTCTGGTTTTGATCAAATAAAACTAGATGGACTTTCATGTTCCTATTTTCTGTCCTGATTGGGCTTGTTACCATGTAGTGGTCGATGAGGTGAAGTTATCCCAGGACTGCAGCATCAACCTACTCTCTTTCAGATCTACAGCTTCAATATGCAATATCTGTATCACATATTGATTTAATAACACATTTTAAAAGTTACAGTATTGGCACAAACACAACCAATTCCAAGATGGACCCCATCTTGAGTTTTTTGTATCAAAATATGAAATACTTACCGAATCCTCATCCCTATAGGATTCCTCATCAGTATTACTAGTAGTATAGCTGTCGTCATGGTGATCAGGTGACTGGTGATTAGGTTGAAGATCACCGTCTGTAGCGAAATATTGTATTAGATCAGCTAATGCACTACAGGAATCTGAACAGGTTCTGATATTAATACGATTGGTATGGATACGAAGGTCAGTTTTAGGATATTTCTGAAATATAAAAATTGTAATGCAATTCAAAAGATCAAATTCATTAAGTCAATAAAAAAAACCTAGGTATCAATAAAAAAACGAAACACAAAATTCATGATAATTGTTTGGCACTACATTGGTAAAAGCTAACAGCAGCCTGCAGTTACATTGTCAGAAGTCTAAGTATAACTTTTACCTGATTTTTGCCATCATTGGTTTTTAAAGATAATTCTAATCTTTCTAAATCACCCACACAAACATATTCTGAAATAAAAAGACATCTATCACCAACAGCCATTTGACATAACTTGCGTATACATGTAAGTCTGGTATACTTAGTTTCATAAATAATCTGAACACAACCAAGCGATATGTTACATTGTACCAATTGACCAATATAATCTGGCCAGAACTAATTGAAACTCTCATACTGTCCAAAGATTAAATTAGAGAAATTATATAACCTACCATCTTTAATATTGACTTCCATGTATTGTTTATCTGATAGAAATAGAGCTGCATCATCTAACTGAAACCTACAGAAAAATAGGAGAGAATAGCCTTACTAAAAAGAAAGCAAATTGTCAAGTAACTTCAAGATTCAGAACATGAACCAGTCACCCCTTAATTCTTTCTTGAACTTTCCCACGCACATGCATGCATATATGATTAAGTACAGCATGTTAAGTTGAGTTCATTTTCAAAATAAGGGATGCTTTGTTTCCTTGCTGTCACAATATACCCATTCTATTGAATGCTCAAAGAGTGAATCATTTAAAACACATTTAAAAAAAAAATGTCATAAAAACTGACTTCAGTGGGTCGGAAAATAACTTGCACTCTAGGGACACATTAGGCCCTACTTCATTTATGTACCTCTTTGCAATTTTAACTTTTGTCCTCAAGTACAATGTGATGATGTTCCTTACTCTATTCTGATTATTCTTACTAAATTTCACCTCAATCGATTAATTTTACCTCAGTAATCATTTAAATTCTAATTAAATCTCTAGGTTCAATATAAAAGTCCATCTTACCGTAACAATGATGTTTGTGAACCTGTTACTATATTACTAGATATACTAAATGTATCTGCAGTTAACATTGATCTTAATGGAAGATATAGAGGTCTGAAACAAAACAGCAACAAAAGAATTCAGTTCTATTCAAAATGTCCTGAATTTCCAAAGATAGATGCCTGGTCACCCATTTTGCTTATTTGGGTCTTGATATTTCCTTAGAATATATTATGTTCATAGCTAATGATCCATCTTGTTTATAATATATTCCATTCAATCTTATAATTTTATAACTGTAAGCTTATTCAATATCTGTAAGTGCAGCTCTCAATGATTGTTATAATCTGCCAGCTGATCCTTGACCAACTCTCTTGGCATCGTTCCTTGATTATTCCTAGCCACAAGGTGCAGAAAAGTAGGACATAAAACTCCATTTCATTTCATTTGATTATTCCTAGTAAAGAGGACACTTACCTATAGTCTATAGAACAACTCCATAAATGTAGATGTAATTGTGTGACAACTTTAGGTTCTATATATCCTAATATAGGATAGTCTCGTAAATCTAATAAATCTAAAGCCTGAAAAATATTACGTTTCTTTAAAAGTACTTCACTATCTTTTATTTAAATCTGTTCACAATTTGAGTTATAGTTTTACAATTTTCAGCATTCCGGCACTGAAATTGCTGTAGATCAAAGGACCAACCTAAGAACAAGCTAAGCCATAGGGGAATATAAAACAACTGTACCTGAGTGATCCAACTTTCACCAGTATCACACATTCTATGATGTAATGTTCCTCCTTTAACACAAACAGATACAGTATAGTCCTGTTAAAATAAAAACATAACTTATTATACTTCAAAACTCATACTAAAATATCATTAATAAAAATCAAAGCTCTGATTATCATAAGGACTTTTCCTTGAAACTTTCGCAAAATTCCTACAAAATTATATATTGTTTAGAGAATTTTGTAGTTCTCAATGTCTCAATATTAATTGACATAAAAAGGAAATAAATTGAGACTCATAATATAAATCTGTACAATTTTGTTACTCAAAATCTCATCTGACAAAATGAATAAAAGTTGTATCAGGTGTTTCGAAAAGAGTTAGCATGGTCTGCTTTGAATGCCACAGCCGCAAAAGAAGTTACATTGTTCAGATTTTTCGTTATACTCTGAAGTCGGAATTAACATAGTGCATTGTATACTTGTTTGTAATTGAATATGTTTAAATCAAAAAATCAACTTTTTTTAAAATATCTGTTGTGTGATTTTCTCATGCTTACTTTCAGCTTTTTGTATCATTTTTTAGAATTCTAAGCTAGTAAATCTTACCTTGACATTATTAATGGTATCTAATTTGGATTTAACAGCCACTGTTAACATATCTTTACTATCAGTACCGATACCAACTTGTCCAGCAAGTTTAGATGGTATGCCTCTAACACTACGTCTAATACAGGGATGTAAACTTCGTGTCTGTTCACTTCGTAAAGAATCTAACGCTCCCTCACCACTCAGACTAGGCTCAGTTAAACTACCTAAATTATACAAAGACTATTGTCACGCATGTACTGTACTTTTTTACGTTCATGGAGATCTTAAGATGCTTAAGTAACGGCCTTTGTGATTCTATGAAGTTCAAAAGCAGACAGCTGAACCTTGATAGTTTTTTAAACAAGACCAAAACAAAAGGCTGTCAAGGCATGACATCTGGTGTTTCCTACACGCTCCACCCCTAGCCAATTTCTCATTGGCGCAACAGCAGAATTAGACATCTTAGCAGTCTGACAAGGCTGTTAATAACAGGTTGAAGATCTTAAGTATGCTCTTAGCCAGATACAAAGAAAATTTTATGTTTACATTTTTTGAAATACACTATCATGAAATAACGTACCATTATGACAAAGGTCTATTTTATTGGCTTGAAAACAGAGATATCTGAGATAAGGATCACCATTATGACATACAACAGAGAATAGGACGGTATCATCTATCACAGCTAATATTTCACCATGTTTCTTTACATCCTGATGAAAAATATAAATATATAGATCAGCTGCTGGTTTCTATGAGGGGTGTGACAGGGAGTATGGAAGAGGGGGTAGGGAGAGTTTGTAATGGCCTCCCAGAAACGAGGCTGGCCCAATGGAGTAGTTTGAAAATACTTTTTTAGTAAGTACTGTTTTCAAGGCAATAGACTACCATGTTCATAGGAAAATGCAGACTGGCAGCAAGAGAAGGTGGAAACTGTCAAAATGACTAAATTCAAAGTAAAATTTCATCTTTACCTGATGAGCAACATTGGCTAAAACTTTCCCATGGCCAATATTTAAACATAAACACATTTTACTCTGTAACGTGGGTGAATGTGATGTTTGTTTCTTCTGTTTGTTTTCTCTTATTGAATAATAGTTGTAAGATTCATCATCAGAATCAGAATCTGAAATTGATCAAAAAATATCATACAGTACATCAAAACATCAATACTGGTAAATACAGATTCAGTACATCTAGCTCACATGGCCACCTTCATTAAACAATCAACTAGGTACCTGCAACATATGGCAACAATCCCCAATGAATTTTCAACATGCGGCCACAATGAAGTCCCTCCTATGACTTTTCCATAACAGCCCCTATAAACAGAAGAAATAAACCCTGAACCTTAAAGCTAGCGAGCTGTTGTCTAACTTACTGAGATACCACGGTCCCAAAATTTTTTTTATTTTTACCTGACATATAATGGAGACCAGACTGAGCCATTTGGAAGAGATCACTGGCATTATGTGGAGACAATACATTCAAACTGTGGTGGATCTTTTCTTGTGTATTAATAGGTGATGGCGCCATTGGTTCCCATAGCAACAAATCATTATTTACTCTAAAATACAAATGACAAGATGATCAAAGTGCATTTTTCTTTGAGGTTCAATTTTTTGTGGATTTCCTTGATCAGCTAATCTATGTCTTCGTAAAATAACAAAGAACACAGCGAAACTATAGAAAATATACAAATCTATAAATATATTTCAGAAAACAAGGTGTACCAGACTCGGAGAATTTCATAATTTCCACAGCATAACCTAACAAATGATGTCAATCTTGTCTAAGCATTCTTACCAATTAATAAACCAAGTAATAACGATCTGAACCACAAAACAAAACACTAAATCCAATACAACATATTGGCGAAACATTAGTAGCAGCTGATGAACTTTTTACATGAGGAAGTATAATATATAGTGAGCAAGAAATTCATAATGAAAGTAGTATCAGGTGACTAGAAGAATACCAACAGACAAACTGAGATACAGCCCTCCACACTAATCACAAACAGTACCCCAAAATTAGCGAGAAAATCTTACCTATTATAGAGCAATTCAAAGAATTGTTTACTATGTAATACACCAACAACATTTGGTAGTACAATTTCTACTAATAATTTGGTATTACTGCTCTCTTTTTCTCTAAACTGTTTCAATTCTTCTTCATTACCAGGTAGTACCAACTGAAAATATGTTTCAGAACACCTTCAGTATTTTTTGAAATTCAAATATTTTTTTTTTTTAAACATTATTTTCTACTAAACCTATATTTTGTACAGAGTATTAAAAAGGATACTTTTCAAAGACTTAAGAAATCTGACGTCTGATTTCAAACTAGCAAATGATGCAAGCCTTTTTTTTATAAACATTATTTTCTACTAAACATATATTTTGTACAGAGTATAAAAAAGGATATTTTTCAAAGACTTAAGAAATCTGACGTCTGATTTCAAACTAGCAAATGATGCCAGCCTTCTATGTCTACTATGGAGTTGAAATCTGAACTGTCTATTGTGAAGTTGTGTTTTGGGTATCTGAAAGCTGGTAAAATATCAGACAACTTTATATTTGAAATAAAAATCAACTACCGTAAATAACCAAAAAGACAAACCTCTTCACAAGTATGTTTAGGTTCAGGATGTGATATAGATGTTAGATCTTCTTGTTGAAACATGAACTTTTTCGCGGAGAAGGGGGAGGGGTCAGACTTAGCGAACTGGCAAGCACCGTTTAAAGAATCATGAGGGGTAGAATCACTGGAGTCTCCGTGTTCATCTTGTTGAAGAGCAGACGAGATCTGATGTGATGTTATTACCAGTCGCGGCCAATTAAAACCTTCATCTTTCTCAGAGTTATCACATGTATCATCAGATGTAATACAGGCTATTAATATAGGGGTACAGTCTTCTTGGAAAAATGCTGAAAATGAAAGAGACAGATAGAATAGCAAAAGCTTTTGCCTCGTAAAAAGTGCCCTCACACGATAGCGATTACTAGCTGCGTATGAATGCAAATAATGAATGGTCATGGGTACTCACAGCTCAGTTGTATGAGAGTTACGTTTGAAACTTATGACTGCTATACTATTTCGCTACCATACACAACTGGTGATCGCTATGGTGTGAGGGCCCATTAAGATTAAACATTTTGGAAAAGTTACAAAATAGTTTATAGTGACAGTAAACTTATTAAAATCATTGCTTTAAGTGTCCTTTTTTCTACGAATTTTGCATGTATTTACAGAGACAATTGATGATTACAGACTGGATTAGTCAGTATCCCATTTGAGAAGTCCATGTAACTTGAGTCACCTGTCATTTTCATTTGCTGAAAACTTTTAAGAGTGAAACCCACAATAAATGACAAAACCTACCTGATATATCACTACAAGTAAATTCTAATTTACTAGATTCATTTGAGCCACTGTTTACTTGAGTTAAAACTTTAAAATTGCGTAACTGTAGGATTAATATTTCTTTATGTAAATTACGTTGCCACCATGGAAGTCTTTCTGTTGATGATCTCAGGTCTGGTTTTGGAAACCTGAAGTAAAAAAGCAAGTATGTCAGTTATTAAAATGGGCCGAATTTGCAAGCATCAAGCATCTCCCTCTCTTAGGCACTGCTATATAGAGGAACTTTTTAAAAAGCAGTAATAACAGAATTGTAAAGCTCAAATAAATGTATTTGATACAATCTACCATGAAATTCATAACCATGATTTTTACTCTCTTTACATCTCTGAATAGCATGCTGCCCCTGAGCATAATCTAGCTCAGGTTTGGGACATCAAAGGTGCTAAACAAAGCATCCACCTCCTGCCCCACTATTTTTTCAGCCCTGCCCCCAGTATAATGAAATATCAATATATTACCTAATACACAGTGTAGCTGACTGACTAGTTAAAGTAATATCTAGTTTATCTGTAGGAACTTCATCCATAATGGCTTCATTAAATAACTGTAAAACATACAGTGAACTCTGTGTATCCATTTGGCACGTTAAGTTATGTCGGAGTATACTTATAATATTCTGATCAAGACTACAGTTAACTGAATTAGCTGCTGAGATTTCCAAGAGTGTCATAGAACTCAATGCTCAAACTACAGTGAAATAAACTGCTCATTTTACTGATTAAAGGGTTCTTGATTTTGAGTTTTCTTCAACTACAAGAAAAGTAACGCCACATGTGGATGCAAATGTTGAGGCACTTTCAGTTAAGAATCCATTGATCAACAAATAAATAACATTGTCTGCTTACTTTAACTATCGTCAACAAGGAACCAAGATGTTAATTACGCCTTGTGACTCTTGATCAAGGGAAGTAAATCAAGGTACCTAATGAAAAGGTATAGTCTTGCAAATCACAGTGTGTTACGGTACAATTAATGTTACTCTTGCCAAATAAAAGAAAATGTGATCATGACATGAAATCGGTACTTACCATACTGTTATATGGTCGATTATAGTCATTATAGAGATTACTAGTAGATTTACTATCAGAACTACTATAGGTATCATTGTTTAGTAGTGTAGACAACCGGTCAATAATCGTAATGTCCACTTCACATTGTAACTGACCGAATTCAGCATTTATCTTTGATCTGGAATCATTTTGACTTGAACTTCTGGAAGACTGAAAAATAAAAATGTTAAAGATGTACTTAAATAACTGAAAAATATGATCACTGAATAATTTGACATAATTGATAAAACATCATTGAGAACCCAGAATCATGTCAATCCATTTTCTCCAACAAAAGAATCATCAATTGATCATTTGATCTTTTCTATTTATTTAATGTCACTGCTTGTTTCAGAGATATTTTGAGAATTTCATGGCCAATTATTGTAAGACTAACCTTTGTCTTTTCACCGGATATAAAATGTAGTTTAACTGCTGGGATGGTATCATGAAGACTTGAAGGAAAGACTGATGCTGGTTTAACATCATTTTGGGTAAATGTTAATAACTGAAAGAAAAAAATATTCAATAGAAATAAGCAACAAACATCAGTCACAGAGCAGCAGATTTGTCTCAAAGAATATGTCTTGTCTTGTGTCATTGAAATTAACAAAAGAAAAAAAGAAACAAACAAAATGTTTGTCATTGAAATTTGAACAAACAGCAAAAAGAATAAGAAGAGAATTGAAAGTTTAAACCAGAACAAACTTTGCAAGCAATAAAGGTTTTTCCGCTTATAAAGGGTAGGTGCTACTGAAAGCTAAAATAGAAACTTGTACTCAATTGCTTTGAGAAGTAAAGGTAAAGGCTTAGTAAATATCATTAGTGAACTCATTCTAGAAAATCTGACATTTAAAAAACAATAGATGTCAGTTCCTATATAACCTTATAAAACATATTTATAAAAGGTATAATTTTGATAGAGATATTTTCTAACAATATTTGTCAGTTGTCAGATTTATAACTGTTTAATAGAATTATAGTCAACCATAAAATATCATAAAACATCCATAAATAACAACTTGTTAAATATCATAACCATATACTTTCTATCATAACAAGTATCATTGGATAGGTATTGGATTTATTTCATGTCTACCTCACGAAGGATGATCTGGGTGGTAATGTTCAACTCTCTCCTATGCTATAAGTGTTACATCTATGTTTTCTTTTGAGAAAAATCATCTAACCCTCTGAAACCTTCTATATTTTGGCAAGAGGATAAGAGGATGTGAGGGGATTGTTATCGTTCAACAGACCCTCTGTACCCTATGATTCATGATTTATACTCATACTTTTTTATGAGAAATATGATCTAACCCTTGTAAATTCGATAGAGGGGAGGAAATGATGGGGGGGGATTGTAAAGCTGCAATGGTCCCCCTGAACCTTGTGTCTACAACATAAATAAATTCGTCTCACCCTCTTACACCTTTTTACAAGAGGATGGACAAGAGGGGAGGGTCCCCTCTGCTTTTTATGTCTACTACATAAATGACATCACTCCTCTAAATCTCTCACACCTTCTATATTTGGGTGGAAGTCGTGGAAGGGTTTTTTTACAACTACAACATTAGTGGGCTCATTCATCAAGTGAAGAATCTTAGTGTTCACCTGTTTATAACCTATGTTAAAAGTCAACAGTGTAAAGAAAAGACAATACAGTGTTCAAGTAGCTATATAATTATCAACATGATGAACTATCTACGGAGAATGTCCTCAGGTAATGAAATGTCAACATTGAAAACCACAAAAATATCACATCTACCAGCTGAACTCAACCAATTTATATCCTGATCAAAATGATTTACTCTACTAGTTAATATCAATATTATAGCCTAGGGATGTTATACTTTAATAAGTTTTACTGCATAAACTTCTTGAGCAAAAAGTTAGAAGTATGATATTCCAAAAGGATTGGAAATGTTTTTGAAAAAGACCTTAACAGTAGCCTATTACCAGTGGGGGTTGTTGGAGGGGATAAAAAAAAAGTCTTGACACAACCATTTAACCCAAATGCAATAAGATACAAATATTTAAACAATAACATTGTAATTTTGATAGGTGTATATATTCATAAGAAAGTGTAAGCCATATTCCAAGATATCCAAAAAGTAATTAAAATGGTTTAAAATTCCCTTAACTGTGTCATATTATAAATGAGGGGTGTGTGGGTTGTAGAGAATGGGGACATATGTCCTCATCTTGCAATAAGTGATCTTCCTCAGCCCTCTAAATCACATGCACTCAGATACAAGGTTGATATATTGCAATTGTTTTAAAGGAGTATTTGTGTAAATATTTTAGCCTGAAGCAAGAAGAGAGAATAAATTTTACAGTCTCAAAATATTATTTATAGGTGATTAAACTCATCTTGAACAGGAAAGTCAAGTTGACATTCAAATACAGCAATTGATATCTTCCTGTAGGGTAATTGTCTGTATCTCTTTTCAGAGTCAAAATATTCCTTTAGTCCATAAACAATGAAGCAATCAGCTTGTTAAGCAAATGATATAAGGACTGAAAAGGAATGTAACTCTACCTTCAATTTGTGGATGCATTGTCAAGTAGAAATTAGCGACCATACAATATAATACCATACACAGATCATAGCAGTCATATCAAATGTCTTAATTTACTTGTACTTGTGCTTCAATTTTTCCTGCATTTGAAAGACTTATTAATATGTGTATTACATGATGGTCTGGTATGCCTATTAATGTAAAGTATTGAAACACGATATGTCAATGCTCAAATGATCATACTAACATAAACCATTATAAATAAGACACGTGAAAATTACAAAAAATGAAGTGAATTGAATGGAGTCTTATGTCCTGCTTTTCTGCACCATGTGGGCTAATGAAGACAGGCAACGCCATGCAGGGTGCAATAAGGGAAATTTTGCCAGGACAGCGGCATTAGTCTTCTCTCTTTCATGAAAATTATAGACAGGATGAAAAGAAAAGAGAAGAAGAGGGTCAATGTCAACTATCAACTGCAGATAATCTTACAAGATGTCATCAAATAGTAGAAGCTGTCAAATGAAACATGTTTAATGTACTCTAAGCCTACTCTAAGATTTAAATTTACATAGCGTCTGTTCAAATACTGCAATTGATCTCCCTCTGATAAAAGTTATTTTAGAAACTGACGCACAATGTTTAAACTAAGTCAATAGAACTATTTATTTATTTTCTGGAAATTTTCAACTTGAGTATGAGTAACTTTTAAATTTAGACATTTTAAGATAAAGTATCATGAACTGGGTCAAAACAGTTTTCTTATTTATGTAACTTTGTCATTTACATGTATTATAATAATCCCTAAGACAGAACTAAAATAATAGGATTAAAAGGGATGGCAAAATAAATATTTACTTGATCAGCTGATAGAGCTCAATTTCAACTATCTGTTTATCATCTGAAACTATTTACTTTACCAGCTGATAGAGCTCAATTTCAACTATCTGTATATCATCTAAATATTTACTTTACCAGCTGATAGAGCTCAATAACACAATTTCTATCTACATTGTGGTCCAACTAAACTCAAAGAGCTGAAATTGAACTCTATCTTCTGGTAAAGTCAATATTGATATAACTATATGATATAGATTGAGTTCTATCAGCTGATAAAACAGATATCTAGATGATCTATAAGCACTTTAAGAGAAAAAGATATGTTATGATTGTTTCCTCAAGATTTAGAAGGGGCTGCTGGTAACCTAACCTAAAATCATATTGAATATTTATGGGCATGCTACGTGACTATTTACAATATTTACAAGAACAGAAGACAAGCCTTATTACTGATGATCTCATTTTTAACTATTTTTATACAATATTTCATCCTCCTTTCATATAAAAAACTACCACAATGACACAGTCTTTTCCCTTACAGCTAACACAAATCACACACAAAAAAACTTCTTAGTAACTCAATATCCCTTAAATATATCAAATTTCTTGCTTCATCATTTTCCTTAATTCAATTTTACCATTAAAATACAATCATTTTCTTTTGTTCAGAGGTTGACAATCAGTTGAGGTGTGTAACTATTTCTTGACATTTGCAGCTAAGCAACATAGTTGAAGTGTGCAGTGTGTATGGTTTTTTTTTATTAGAAATGTTTTTATTTGGACCAAGTTCACTATCTAAAGAGAAAGTTTTGTCCAAATAGATATACATGTATGAAAACATAATAAAAATAATTTAAATCAATCAATTTTATTCAATTCAATATTGAAAGACAGTTTTATTCTAGAAAAATATATAAACAGAGCTTTTTCAAAAACCTAATGAAAAATATCTTGAATTATTACATTGATATAAATATTAGTAAGCCCTAATTAATAACTATATACTTCAAGAGCCTATTGTTTAATATTCTATAATATTGTATTTAAGGGGCTCACATTAAGGGGCACTTTACGGAGGATGTGTGTTTCTAAAGAATAGTGCTGAATATTTCAATATGTCTATTTACTTCCTGTGGTCTATTGCTTGATATTATACATTACTGTATAATTAAGGGGTCCACATTAAGGGGCCACACTTCAAGGAGAACTTGACAGAGGAATGTTATGTTTAACAAGTGGAGGTTTGTGACCTCTGGTCAATTGACCATACTGTCAAGAATACAAATGAGGCCATGTCCAGTCCATTATAAACTACCTCAAGTGACCCGTTCATTGACATCATTTTAACTAATCAACAGCTGATTTTATTAATGATAAGGAGTTGTGGTTATTCACGTTCGTGAGCCAATAATTACAGACAGAACCATACAGTTTGCAATTAGCGGGTTATTAAGGAAGAAATATGAACCTTTTTTCCCACTTCCAAGAGCGTGATAGATGTTTTCTCCGCCTTCCCACATTAAAAACTTTCAGGTTCAAACCACCCATCATCACTAGTGCCCTCTAGAATTTGTAAAAGAATGCTTGGGACTAAAGTTAAGAAAATAATTGAATCCTCAGTGTTCAATGAAAATAACTAAATGATCGATATGATGTATTTATAGAAAATGAAGGTGTTATATAATATAGAAAGTAGTCAATGAGGTAAACAATATAGATAATTATATGTGAACACAATACATTTATAATAACAATACAGCTCTAGGGCGTTATAGCTTTCTACCACTTGCTGATAGCTTTGACAAGTAGTACAATCGCTCAGGTAGAACTGTGTCGTGAATGGCTGATATCAGTTTCCGGTTGAGGACAGGTATGCCAATCAAGGTGAGGCTATGACTCATAATATACACAGGTGAAAATATCTTCAGATTATTTGACAAATGTTGTAACATTTTTGAACATTTACTGTTAAAATTCCAATGTCTTCCAAAACTGTACTAAGTGATTTGATTAAGAGGCATACTAATTAGGTTATTAGTAGAATGTGGACAAAAATACTAACAGATTGCTATTAAATCTACCTGTTGATTTGACCTAAATAAGTACCCTAGCTAGGTGAGTGTTTATCTTGTTACAGCAGTATATCTTTACTATATACAGTATTATATTTACACCTTTTACACTTTCTTATTTCTATCTATGTTAGTCATTTGATATCAAATTTGACAAGATTCTGAAATTATTTGCAAAACCAATAATTTGTGTTTTATCTAAAATAGGCTATTTGTAACAACATATATATTATACAGTGTTATATCTATACCTTGTACTCTTTCTAATTTCTATGTATCTTAGTACATAAAATACAATTGAAAAATTGAAAATATTCTGAAATAATTTGTAACATAATTTGATTTATTGGGTGAAATCCATAAGGTTTTGTGTTTTAATCAAAAAATATGTTATTTTTAACAACATATATTTCTTCTTCTCAAAATACAAGGTTCATTATATTCAAAATAAACCTTAGTAATTAAAATTATCCCTACAGTTTAAATATATCATACCTTTAGTCTTGAACATATATTTGCTATTTTTGCTAATTTGCTGAATGAAGATATCAAAGAAATCTTTATATCTGAAGAGCTGGTTAAGTATTTGAATCTAAAGAAATTCAGGTCTATGAAATTTTTTAGCCTAAAGAAAAGTGCATCTTAATTTCAATGCAACATTTATTGTTCGCCATTTTTATATTACATTGATTCTAATTGCCAAGTGGAATTTGTAGAAAACATTTTTTAAAATTACTTTTTTAATATTTTCAGGTAAATCAAACCAAGATGAAGACTGGTGCCATATTTTTAAGATGTCTTCTTGGTATTGTAATCCTGGCAGTTTTAACGGATGCTTTACCAAGAATGTGTGGACAGATTCAAATGCCATTAGAGTGCCAGTGTAAAACTACTAATAATGATGATAATAATCCTGCAACAATTAAATGTTCCAGATTGACAGAGGTACCAAAATTTAACATTAGTGGCAGCCAAGTGACTATTTATGAGTTGGATTTATCAAATAACAACATCAATAATATCACAGACAGTGTTTTTCAAGGAAATTATCAAATTCAAAGAATCAATCTTGAAGGGAATCAAATAAGTGCCATTTCGGAAACAGCATTTTCAGGAATGCAAGGTACTTTATTGGAACTGAAACTAACTGGTGACAGTAATCTTGATATTCATGCAGTGTTAAACAGTACTAAACTATTAATGGACCTTCAAGTTTTATATTTGAATAATTTTCACGTGCCAAATAATAATTTAGAACCTCCGACGATGTTTTCGTTTCCAAACTTACGTGAATTGAAGCTGGAAGAAATGAAATTAATATATATTGATCAAGAAACGTTTAATTTACCAAATTTGAAAAAGATGCTTCTGAATAACAATCAGTTTGAGAATTTACCACTGTTACATCATACCTTGATGAATATTGAACATTTAGAAATCAAAGATAACAAAATTCATACCATTCCATTTCATAATTTTGAACGTAACACCAAAGTGAATTTTTTCGATATTAGTCGAAATAACATTACAAAACTGGATCCTGAGTGTTTCTTCAATATTGAAAATGTGCTGCAAGCTTTGATACTGGATGGAAATCCCATACGAAATGTTTCTGTGTTAGCACCAATAAAAACATTATCAGCATTAGTTTCGTTACGCTTAGAAAGAACTGGATTAAGAGAGATTCCTGCAAATCCAATTTTCATGCAAAAAAAGCAACAGCTAAAATATTTGTATTTAAACGAAAATCAACTGACTAGTTTGCCCTCGGGATTATTTTCTAATACTGGATATCTGTTAGAAAAATTGGATTTATCGCACAATCAGCTTCCAGGATTGCCAGAGGATTTCTTTACAGGACTTTCATCTCTGACAGATCTTCTGTTGGTAAAACAGACCATCGGGGGAATCTTTTCCCTACCTTCATTCATGCCACTCACAAACCTACAACGACTCATGTTTGAACAAACTAAACTGAATACCAGTGAAATTTGGAATGCCATACCACATCTGAAAAATCTCAGATCTCTGAATCTTGATGCCACTGGATTAACAGGAATTGAAGACTCTGTCTTTTGGGATTTGAGGTCATTGGAAGAGCTGAGTCTGCAGGAAAACCAGATCTCGACAATAACTGACAAATCGTTTCTCGGCTTGAGGAACATTTCCCATATATACCTGGGTACTAACCAAATAAGCGAGTTAAGCTCATGTGTTTTTTATGAATTCCGCTCAGCTCTGACTATTTCTCTCATTGAAAACCCTTTACACTGTGACTGTAGGTTAGCATGGTTAAAAACAAGAGTCACAGAAAAGGAAATTAATTTTGCTACATCACAAGAAAAGTGTCAGTCACCTGCAAGTAACGCCAATAAACTGTTTGTAAGTGTCGATTACTCAGACTTTGTTTGCGATGTTCATGTTGATTTGCCAGTCTGTGTGGATCATTATCAATCCACAACCACCATGGCGCCAACGACTACACCACCAACAACAACCATGATGCCAGACGTTATTGTCACCTTCACCATTGAAGAGATAACTTTAAGTAGTTTACATCTAAAATATTCTGCCACTCCATTAGAGTACGTGAAAGAATACCTAATTGAATATGAAAACATGAATACCAACCAAAGAGAGTCGATAACTCGAGATAAGAACTCTGTGGACCACAGCATCTTAAGACTAACGCCAAGCACCAGTTATGAGGTATGCGTAAGAGCAAAAATAATCGACAATCGATACAAATCCAAATGTCTGCTACGCCAAACATTAGCTGATCCCCAAGCAACAACAACTGTACGCATAGCCGTTGCTCAAAAAGATGAGACGGGCATCATCATTGGTGCAAGTATTGGTGGCCTCATTCTTTTGGCTTTGTTGGTGGTCATTTTGTATCTGCTGATATTCAAGCGAAGAAATAATAAAAATATCACGACTGGAGCTAACCCCGTCAAAGTGATCAAAAGGTCAAATCTTCCTACAATTGGTTACGATTCTAAAAGATTTGGCAAAAAGAAAAAACAAAATGGCCACGCAGTAGCGGAAAATCATGACAATGCTACGAATGAAAATATCCATGTGGCTGTGATTTCAGACGGTCAAAATAATTCACAATCCACAAATCTAGGTCGTATGTCAGCGGGCAGTTATCAGTTTTTAGATGAAGATAAAAAAGTGAATATTAATCCAGAAACAGGAGGTTATATGAACAGTAATGACATGCGTCCCTTGCCTTCGGCTCCTCGTAAGCATCATGCGTATCAAAATGAAGCATTTCAAAGAAGTCCTACTCGGGATACTGAACCACACCCGTATTCTGAGATCAATTTGGAAAATCCAGTTTGAAAATCAGAAGTCGTCATACTTTAATTACTATACAACTGAATTTATCCATGAACCAAATGTGTATGTTCCAAATGTGTGAAAATTTCATGAAAATATTCATACAGAAGTCCTGTTTCTGTGATTTATGAGCATGGTTGGAAAGTTTGAAAATCAGAAGACATTTAAAACCTGAATCGATTCATATCTAAACCAAATTGAATGTGAGCCAACTTGTATGGAGGGAAAATTTTCATGAAAATAGAAGCGTAATATTTTAAAAATGAATATACACCAATTTGTATGCGCCATGTGTCTGAAGATTTTCATGAAATAGAAGCATTGCAAGATTTATATATGAACCAAATTGAGAGTGAGCCAATTTGTATGGGCCTTGTAGAAAATTTCCACAAATATTTTCTTACAGAGGTCATAATTCTATGATTTATGTGCTAATGGTTTGAAAGATCTTGAAATATATATATATATTGAGAAAGTGACAACATAAATCATAAAATATCACAAACTGAAGACAAACTATCCCACTGTCTAAATCATTCCATATTATAACTGTGATTGTGTAAATAGACAAATCATTGTGAATACTTCATTAAATTCAAATAGGAGCAAAAGAAAAATCAACAAGCTCTATCAGTTGAACTGCAAAACGAATCCAGAAATATTTCAAATGAACCATTTTCAGAGATATTTTTATGTGAAAGAACAACACTTCTTAAAATATTACTTTTCGTAATTACGTCTTAATAATATCTAATTATATAATTGTTCTGTGTTATATTTTGAGAGTATTGTCTAAAAACTAATATAGATGTGTCCTATGCACCATTATTTGGAGATCTTTTTTTTATGTGAATATAAACATTTTTAAAAATATTAAGATCATGTGATTTTTGTGAAATTGGCGCTACGTAGATTGTTGCCATGACAACTAAATGATGACATGTAATTCTGTTTAAAATGTCATTTGCATCAAACAATGAATAGTTGAAAAGTTACATCATACCAGGATATATAAATAAAGAAAGTTGGATATTCTCTACCCACCTTGTTAAGTACCTTAACTCTTTGTAAATGTTAAAATTCCAGCTTTGCCTATAATACCTCAAATAAAACTTTTTATAATATATGTGATATCAAAATTATGAGAGAAAATCTCGCTGCCTGTTCTGTTTCTAATAAATTGCTTTGTTATTGTTGTATTTAGTTGTTAAAGATACAGTAGAGAATATGTGATACGTCAAAATTATGCAAAGACAATCTGGCAGCCTGTAATACCTCATATAATTAACTTTTAAAGGTACATTACATATGATATCAAAATTATGCCATTTTATCTGAATTTTATAATTGTCATCTACTATTTTACTGTTTTGTATATATAGTGAACAATGTTATACATTTTAAACAAAAAATCATTATTATTTCATGGGCGCCCAAATTTCATGGTTCTGACAATCAATAATGCATTTGGATTCCCATGAAAATGAGTTCACACTATTTTGATTTGTCCTTCATCATTCATACTTACTATTTGAGCAGAAATAAATTCTAGTTTTGTATCAAATTGACAAAACAATTTAAATATCATTCAAAATAAATTTGGTGCTGGCACCATAATGTTAAAAAATATAATTTAATCAAATCTCATTGGTTTATGGACATTTCAAAAGAGCCAGGTTGTTTCTAAACTATCATTTGAATATTGAGCTAATCAAATTTGAAATGTAGGTCTGACAGAAATGACGTATCTCAAATTTTCAGGTATATTGGTTTGATATTTGGGATATCATTCTATTTTCTAATATTGAATGCCTTAAAATGATACTACCTCTTAGTATGGACATAAAATTTAGAGTCTCAAAATTGGTCAATAAGAGTATATATTCATCAATTGTACTTACTTTCATGAATAAAGGGATTCTGTTGTATAGTTCTGACACCAAGAAAATTCACTAATGAACAAAAACTCATTTCAACCAGGTTTTAAAATTTCATAAATTTCATCCTAAGAGGTGGTATACCTCTCTCATGTTTTTTTATGATATAGGTGCCTCAAAATGATGCCTTTCATTGAGAAATGTGCCTAAAAGTGCTATTTTTTACCTTTTTGTATATCTTGAACTATTGTTAATTTATGCTAATTATCCTCATTATTATGTACATAATATTCAAATTTATAAAATTAATTGTATATAACATATATTTTCATCATCTATGGAAAAATTCTTCTATATTTGTTATTTTCTTTGCCAAGAATAATAAAGTGATATGATATTTAATAAAGTTAATGTTTTCTTATTAAATAATCAAATTAGAAAATTACCACTGTTTAAAATACCAGCTTTTACAGAATCTTATTTGTTAAAAAATGTTTATCAGAGAAGACATATTTTAAATTTCATCACTATCTTCTGTACATTTTCATTACATTCCATAGGGCTATATTCACAATAATTTTACACAAGATTTTCAGAAATACAGTAATTCTTACAAATTTATAGATTTTTTTTATTAATATAAACCTGGATTTGAAATCAGTTTTAGTGATTGGCCAATTAAACAAAAAAAATATAATTTCACAAAAAGTTAACTTCCAACGAATTCTAGTAATATGATTGGTCAATCATTAATTTTTCGTTTTCAAAATCAGATTACTATATTTCTTAAATTTTGAATATATTCGGAGCTAAGATTTTGTAGATGCTGACCTCATCTGTTGATAAATATATAGTAAATTTTATAAGGTTAAGTTTCTTAAAATTCTAAAAAATCATCATTATATTTCTATATATATCAAATAAATTTTTTAAAGAAATATTCATCCTTTTTTGTCTCTTTTTGTCCTACATTTTTAACTTAGATTAAAGCACCATCCTGAGATCATGGATTTCCATCTTACTGGTTAGGAGTTCATTGAGACGACCTTAAGACCTCTGACAACGGATAAATTTGATTGGTCAAGAAAGACAATTGATGGAATATCCAATAACATAAGTAGATGAAAAACTAGCAATGCAAAGCAGCAGACTTTGAGAAAAAATTGGCCACATATCAATTAAATATCCTATACAACCTTGTTAAGAAAATAAACCATTTCTATATTTCTTTGATCATATTCTAAGGCAAGCAAAAGCGCAATAACTGATTAAATTTAGGACCAATATTTTTCTTTTTTGTTGCAAAACTTTCATAACAAAAGGGAAAGAACTCTCTCTCTCTCTGACAAGGACTAATTATAACTGAATGTGTGCAGACTGTCCAGCACTTATTGACAAAAATAAAGGCTAATTTTAGGAATAAAAAAAAGAAACAGCCTAAACAGCTGGAAAAGAGCGTCTTTGTTCATCATTGTGCTTGGAATACGGATATTCTGATGCAGAAGGAATAATGAAATAAAAAAGGAGCGAAGATCAGATCTAGTCACTATTTTTATAGAAGGATCATCATCATAATATCATGCTTTCAGGAACTTTGTCTTACACCTTGACTGTAATAGCCACCTTTCATGTTTTACGGAAGTTTGTAATTACAGTGTTTTGGTTGGATTGTGAGTTGGCAAATACAGCCAATCAGAGTCCTCCACAGAAAGTCTGTAAGCAATAAGCCATAATGTTTACAATGTGTCTGTTGAAGGATGTTATTGGTTGCGTTCAGTAAACAAGAAAGGTGGCTATTACAGTCGAGGTATAAGACAAAGTTTGTAATAGCTGAACAATGTGAAGATGTGGTAAAATAAGCTAGTAATGTTCCTCAATTCAAATAGAATAAATGCCCTATTGGAAGTATATATCGGTAACAGCTAAGCAGAAGAACGGGTTGTGATATGGGAATAATAATATCTACTTACTTTGTTACAATCAGGCTGAAATTTTCAGGTGGAGTTTATTGACAAGTGTTCAGATTATGCTGTTGACATGCGTTTTTGATATAATGTCCTCATCAGGATAACTAGTTAACTACCCATTATAGATATAGAGAAAAATCAAGTTTGTTTTTGTTTCTAACTTCATGACCTAGGCAAACGCTTTTTTCATAATACTATTCTCTTCTTATTTTAATGCACATACAATACTCTCTAACTTGAGGGTACCCAAATGCCTGTGTCTGTGCTTTCGGAATGTTACAACCTAAAATCTCTAATCCTTAGTTAAATATATAGCACTCACCTCACAGTAGTTGGCTAGTTTGGGTTGTTCATCATCCAATAAAGACGTACCGCTAACTTTTCTATCAAACAGGCATTCGACCAGTTCAGCCATACCAATAACAAAATCAACTGATAATGTTTTATGCCGTGGTGCCACTTTCTGTGTACAGTCAACCGTGAATGGTTTACCAAGAAATCTGCAAGAGAAATTTATCATAGGTTTTGCTGAAGTTTTTCAAGAACCATAAGTTAAAATTATATAAGGGTACATTTTTCGGTAATATCAAATAAAATGTGCTCAAAACAGGTAAAAAATGCTAGGTTGACTAAGTATAAGCCAAACAGTTCTGGCTCTACCTATAGACATGATATATGGATGTGATATGTCATTGTATCTGGACACATACATGTGTAATCTACCGATGTTGTCGGGTTTCTACTGCTTTTGCATGTTGTCCACCGCTCTACTGACAGGTTACCCAATTCTACCGATTTTTAGTTTTTTTCCTGACCAAATTTCCATTATGGACAGAATATAGAATAGGGTAGAATGAGATTACAGTCAGGGTGTATGTATTGCAGCATTGTTGTCTTCAACTATCTACTAACAAGAAGATGTGGCAATGGGCCGATCATGACCTCACCTGATCCACATTCTTTAATAAATCATTACAGAAAACAGTCATAACATGAAGAAATATCTCACTGAATAGTTCAACTGATGAAATACCTAACAATTCTTCTCCTTTTCAAATTTTCTAAAAAATGAACCAACTAAACACTATCTTTCTAAGACTTACCCTAAATGATCATGGGGTAAAATCTTGGAAAATTGGTCCCTCAATTCTTTCAGAGAAACATTGACACCAGCGAAGGTAATTCTGGACACAGCCTGAAAAAACTTGTCCGAGATCTGTCTTAACTTCTCTGTTGCTGACAATGCAGGGGTGAAGACGTCTTGAGTAGAGGCACTTTGGTTTTCATGTAAGATACAAACTGATACAAATGTTATCTTCATTCTATAGTGACTTATCTCGGCTGCAGGATCATCGGCATATTTCTGGAGATTGTCTGAAACATTTGAAAAGATCATTGATGATGATATTACGAAGTTTAACTTTGCTAATAGTGCTGAAGAGTAGTGTTGTAACTGATGTACCAAAATCTTGTGTCAAATTTAGGCTCTTGGTCTAGCTCTAGTTTGAAAAGTTGATTGTTAATTTGGATAGGTAAATCAATAGGATCTTGTCAGTAAAACAGAAGTGTTCAAATATGTCTCAAGATGTAAAACATCAGAATTGATATTTGACAACAATATTACTTTCAGAGCATTTTTCAACTTAAATCATTACGTCAAGTAGAAATGAAACATCCCACAGACACAATAGATGACATATACTATATCTGTAACAGCCCATTCTTTAGTTATCAGGGAAAATAGCTGATTCTATCTGGAAATCAATGACACCCAATACTATTAACATAATAATTATATAATAAATCATTCATAGAAATACCTCTAGGTGATTTTTTAGTTAACTTTTTTCTGGTGGGTTGAGATGATTCACTGGGTTGATATGCTGAAATACAGAGTCATCATTTAAGCCCATTCCATTACTAACTACTTTCAGTACAGAGTGTACATCAGTACGATATAGTACAATCCTTGCCTGCTAACCTAGCGGATGCTTACTACTGGATTTGACTATAATTGAAGACAGACAATTGTTCTGAGACAGAAGCATCAGTCTATGCTTTATTGATTTCTGAAACCCAAAGAATCTTATATAAGAACAGAAATGGGGCCGCCCCTGTTAATGAGTTCTGCACATAAAGGATTCATGGAATCAACAGGATTGATTCAATAAAACAAGTTGGAACAGACTAGGTGCATACAGAATTCAAAATTACGGAGAAGAAATGGGAAAATTTTGAATCTGACATATTCCACTTTCATACCAGTCGATTGAAGGAAGAATTGGAAAAAACGGAATCTGTTCACAACGCTTCAATCCAGTGCAACCCCTGTAGTACTCATGCTTCTAACAAAACTTACTGGTAGCTGTACTGTTAGTTCTCATTGTAGTATCAGTTTTAATACTGGATGTTGAAGTCTCCATCTCTGATAGATCTGATTTTCTAGAGCCATATGTAGAAAAATATATCTCCTCAGATTCATCATTAGAATCATCTGAAAATAGAACAAAAGTATACGAAAATGTGTCAATTTATCACAAGAGTTTGGAGGCAAAACTTAACTATCTTCTTAGTGTAAAGGTATAAATATCACAAGATCTCCAAAAGAGCTAATCAACATGCTTGTGTGAGCTTTTTTACATTTTTTGTTGTGTAAAACTAAATACAAGCAGCTTCTAATGTAGTTTGCAAAAGTTTGTTTGATTGGTTCATGTCTTCATACAAAGCTATTTGGATAAAGTGAGCCATGGTGAACCTTAATCATTGATATGTAGGCATGGCTTGAACGATGAAGAATTGTAGAAAGAATGGTCTTTTTCAAACCATATTTGTCATAGGTTCTGAATTGAAATTAAGAAATCCATGATCTCTAGATGGTGGGTTTAAGATAGTAAAAATAAATAATCGTACCTAATAAATTTTCAGATTGAGTAAAATAATGTAAATCTGGTTCTGGTAAAGGTTGATTTAGTCGTGTAGTCTGTAGTTGTTTTTGTAATTCATGTTCTACTACCTGATAATCAGTAGAACTCATCAATTTATCTCTAGCAGATTTCTTCTTGGAATTTCTTTTCGAAGATCCTGCAATTAAGAATAGTGTGATTTTGTTCTGGCAATATTGAAATGTCCTGGCTTACTTTAATCCTTTCCTCTATAGAGAAACTTGCATTGCCTGGATATCTACTCACACCTAAGAATTGTTCCAAACACAATTCATTTAATGTTGAGGTGGTATATCTGGTAATGAACATAATAAAGGTCTAAATGATGTCAAATTAATTACAGAAAATAAAGATAAAAGATTGTTAAGTTATATTTGAAAGTGTTTTGAGATATTCAAAGCTACATTTTCATTTTTCCTATTAAACTATTGTCAAATGAAATCAATTTTTATACCATTGTATTCTAATATCATATATAACAATTAAATAGTAGAACTCTCTTACCTTGTGTATCTATATTATTTAACATGTACAATAAACCACGAACCTGCCATGGTGATAACAAAATATGTATAGTAGTATACGAGGTCCTTACCTTGTGTATCTATATTATTTAACATGTATAATAAACCATATGTATAGTAGTATACGAGGTCCTTACCTTGTGTATCTATATTATTTAACATGTATAATAAACCATATGTATAGTAGTATACGAGGTCCTTACCTTGTGTATCTATATTATTTAACATGTACAATAAACCATATGTATAGTATTATCGGAGGTCCTTACCTTGTGTATCTATATTATTTAACATGTATAATAAACCATATGTATAGTAGTTTAGGAGGTCCTTACCTTGTGTATCTATATTATTTAACATGTATAATAAACCATATGTATAGTATTATCGGAGGTCCTTACCATGTGTATCTATATTATTTAACATGTGTAATAAACCATATGTATAGTATTATTGGAGGTCCTTACCTTGTGTATCTATATTATTTAACATGTATAATAAACCATATGTATAGTAGTTTAGGAGGTCCTTACCTTGTGTATCTATATTATTTAACATGTACAATAAACCATATGTATAGTATTATCGGAGGTCCTTACCTTGTGTATCTATATTATTTAACATGTATAATAAACCATATGTATAGTAGTTTAGGAGGTCCTTACCTTGTGTATCTATATTATTTAACATGTATAATAAACCATATGTATAGTAGTTTAGGAGGTCCTTACCTTGTGTATCTATATTATTTAACATGTATAATAAACCATATGTATAGTATTATCGGAGGTCCTTACCATGTGTATCTATATTATTTAACATGTGTAATAAACCATATGTATAGTATTATTGGAGGTCCTTACCTTGTGTATCTATATTATTTAACATGTATAATAAACCATATGTATAGTAGTTTAGGAGGTCCTTACCTTGTGTATCTATATTATTTAACATGTACAATAAACCATATGTATAGTATTATCGGAGGTCCTTACCTTGTGTATCTATATTATTTAACATGTATAATAAACCATATGTATAGTATTATCGGAGGTCCTTACCTTGTGTATCTATATTATTTAACATGTATAATAAACCATATGTATAGTATTATCGGAGGTCCTTACCTTGTGTATCTATATTATTTAACATGTATAATAAACCATATATATAGTAGTTTAGGAGGTCCTTACCTTGTGTATCTATATTATTCAACATGTATAATAGACCATGAACCTGCCATGGTGATAACAATATATGTATAGCACCAATCTGACAATCTACATCCATCTATAATCAGAAATAATATTTAATATACAAATCATTTAATAATAAGACACAAAATACAAGTATTTCAAATGATTTCATTTCTAAATAGCAATTTTAGATTATATAACCATAGATCAAATTCCCTTGCTCAAATTTCACACAACTTTAAATGCCAATGATAGAGTTTTCTTAAATTCCAAATTTGGTAATTGAAGTAACAATCACAAATAGTATTTTGTAATCTAAAGAACTGGAGCTAATAGTCATTCTTTTTAAAGAAATAAGTTAATGAAGTCTAGCGATATAAAGTAATTTTTCCCAATTTAGAATCATATTTATTAAAATCATAAGAATTTTATTGCTCAAGACAGCTTATGTGATATTTCTATGTTTAATGACTAATATTTAACATACCTTAGGTCCAGACAGGGAATCGTTTTGTTTGACTTTAACTTTTAAAACCTGTTTACCAGTGAAAACAGCTATTTTAATAGGTTGGTTGTTGGTGACCAGGGTTTCTGATGAGGCTGTAGATTGCGGTTGAAATGTAACGTGTTGATGCATACTCTCAGTTGAACTACTAATATTACTTAGAGTTGATTCATATAACTACAAAAATATATTCAGGAATTAAAACAATAAGTTAATATATTGGTTAATAACTTGGTTACATGATAAGATAAATTTTACCTTTCCGCATATTTCACAGATTTTTTATCATCAATTATATTTCCCTTTTTTTTTTAAATCATAGCTAAATTATCATCAATCCAGAAATAATTTCGGCAATTTTGACGACGCCATTGACCAGTTACTTAATATCTTTTCCCCTTTAATTGCCTATTTTTAATAAATATAACATACTCTGCTTGACATATCCAAAGAGTCTTCCATGGTCGGTGTTTTCTGGACTGTTCGTGAGAACTCGTCACAATATAAAGATACACCCATTAAATGTAGGTTTTTAAAAGCTTCTGCTGGTAGTTTTAGATTGTTGGCTTCACAATCATCTACTGGACTTCCCTGCTCATTAGCTAAATCATCAAAATAGTCAATTCTGAAAACAAACAAAATCTTAGTAGTGAGTTCAATTTCCCGTTTGGCACACAGCATAAGAGAGGTCGCCCTACGTTTAGTAAGAGACTAGTAATCTTTATTTACTCATTTGCTTGAAATGTGAATAAAGTGGTTGTGGGTTCTTATCTCTGCCAGCATGTAAAAGTCTACTGCATTTCTCCAGTCAACCATTGTATAAATGGGTACACACAATCTGGTTTAGATCAACGCCTAGATCCTGGTTAGTATATGTTCCCCACAGCCCTTTATTAGCTGAAACTACCTGATTAATATCATTTCTGACTTTTCAATTAAAGTAATGAAAAGATATATACCTTTCAATTCTAAGTTCTAGAGCAATACCTTTCTCTGTATCATTGTTAACATGTTCTAGTCTAATAATAGTATCTAATAGTGATAACTTTACTCTTGACAACACTGAAATAAAAATCATGCTATGTCATCAGAAACTGTTATACCACAGCATCCTGTCCACCATCATATTCCACATTTTTGTAAAGAAATATGCAGGAAAGTAGTGAAAGCAAATCTTATTTCTATCTCCTATAATCAATTGATCAAATATTCAAATTCTCAGACTTGGCCAATGGACATCCATAAAACTAAAGCAATGACTAGTAAGTTTATGGATAATTACTTTGGTTTATGGATAATTACTTTGTTTTATGGATAATTACTTTGTTTTATGGATAATTACTTTGTTTTAAGGATAATTACTTTGGTTTATGGGTAATTACTTTGGTTTATGGATAATTACTTTGGTTTATGGATAATTAGTTTGTTTTATGGATAATTACTTTGTTTTAAGGATAATTACTTTGGTTTATGGGTAATTACTTTGTTTTGTGGATAATTACTTTGTTTTATGGATAATTATATTCTTTTATGGATAATTATTTTGTTTTAAGGATAATTACTTTGGTTTATGGGTAATTACGTTGTTTTGTGGATAATTATTTTGTTTTATGGATAATTACTTTTATGGATTACGGATTATACAGGAAATCAGTTTCATGGTTAAAGAACCAGATAAGTCTACTGATGAATATATACTATTAATGACCAAAATCAAATTTTATGTTCATTCTAAGAGGTAGAATACCTTTGTGACAGACCTTTATTAGTGTTGCTTGCTTGCCTTAAACAAATACGTACTTTATTTATGCAAGATAAGAAGATGGCATCGTAAGCAAGTCGATAACACTGTAAACAAGCAACGTCCAAACTTCAAGTTCTTATTTTCAAAATGTGTATAGCTATTAAGTTGTTGGAACTTCATCTAGATTACGACTGTTTATTCAAGAATTTCCTCTTTATCAAGGGAATTCAAGTCCAAGTCTGCCAAGTAAAGTCTACTTCAAGTTCTAGATACCCAGTAACCCAACCTTTAAGACTAAATAGAGTCAGATAATAAGATGGACTAACCTGATTCAATGGTCTGGGCAAACATCTGTACACCTTCAAACGGTTCAGATTCAGGTGTAGCATCACTAGCTGATTTATCTGAATTTATAACTTCTTCTGCTAGCTGTAAACTTGATGTCATACTACTAAACATTGAGGCTGTGTTTAGGAAGGTGTCTGAAATAATATATAACATATGTCAGAATTTTAGTAATTGTTAACAGAAATGCAGTAAGTGAGCTGTCTTTTAATTTGTACATGAGTTTTCAGTAAGTTATGAGTTATCCCACTTTTTAAGTATACTATCAGTTGACAAGTCAAAATGAAATGAAATGAATGGAGTTTTACGTCCTACTTTTCTGCACCATGTGGGCTAATGAAGACGGGCAACACCATGCAGGGTGCGATGAGGACAATTTTGCCAGGACAGCGGCATTAGCCTGCTCTTTTTTTCGATTTCCAATTGTTGAGGGATCTTTAACGTGCACAGCCTATAGTACACAGTGGCTCGGTTTATTGTCCCATCCGAATGACTAGACGCTTTTTCCATGTCAGCCCCTCTTACCTACATCACTGACAGGGGGGAAACCGGGTTGAAAAATCTGAAGGTATTATCTCGACCTATGCCGGGATTGAAACCTGGGCCTTCAGGTTAGCGAGCAAGCATCTAACTCACTGATCCACCGCAGCTTCCTATTGACAAGTCAAGAAATGACTGAACACTGTATTGAATGATAAACAAGAGAGACTTTCTACTATCTAAAAACGTTTTATACAATGTTGTAGCTACGTAGTGACGTTAGATCAAATATGACATTACAATACCAATAAAATACATTACCGTCTTTGATTGAAAATAAAGATAATTAAAATAAGAAATAAAGAAACTATTTCGCAACAAACAACTAAATGCATTATGATATCATTCTCATTGAAGGAACAGACTTAATAAAAATATCTCAGTGGATGGGGTCAAAGATACCATAGAGACTTGTCAGTCATTGTACTAGTACTAGTCCCTTTCAATCTCTATTAACGTTTTAAAGTATTCCCAAAACATGTTATCACATGAACCAATCTTATGTTCACATTCCATAGCATGAATAAGTTAACTAAATTACCCAGAAAATAAAACGTTCACAAAAATTTAGTGACAACATTTCTAAAATTGTAATTTCTGGTCAAATGTAATCATATTTCACCCAAAAACAAAAGATATACAAACAAGACAAATTACTTTTGAGAAGCAAAATTAAGAGTACCTGTATATATTTTACAAAAGCAATGATAACAGTGATGGAAAGGAACTAAAACCAACATCTCTGTATGAGAGATTGATAATTAGGATATCCATATCCGTTCCATAGATGAACTAATGAAAATTAACTGGCAAGCAATCACCTGTTTTATCACTATGTTTTAATTTTATAGTTTTTTCTAATCCTTACACTCAATATTTTGCCACTGTGATATTTCTCTCATTGCCCACAGACTGGCTTGATCAACTTGATTATCTCTGCTTCAGAGATGAATAGATTCACTGGCAATACTAACCTGCGTCATCACATTGTTTTAACTGTATGGTTATCTCTAACCCTTTAATTTCTATCTCCATACTCTCAGAGAGTAGACAGGACCAGGGAATGGCCATTGATATAGTACTAATATAGCCATCAATAATTTCTATTGGTGCATTCACTTTATCTAGTGATTCATTTAATGCCTGCAACATAATAAATGCTTCTAGTCAATTCTTGAAATGCAGAAAACAAGTAATCATATTATCCTCTCTTCTTGACAATTCTTCGCGATTAGTGACGTCATCAAAAACTTAGTTTTATTGGATTTGTACGCCAATGAATACAGCCCTCTGTTGAGTGTATTTGTTATCATTATCTATGAAACCAAAGATATCATCATAATTTTGATAAAAAAAAATTCCCTGGAAATTGACAATAATAATGACATGCAAGAAAATAAAATAGAATTTCCGTGGAGCGGAGGGCGGTAGCATTTTGCTTTCAAATTTGCAAGTTGAAATGGGATGAGGTCAGAAATACCACTTTGTCCTTTGTTTAAGCTATTACCTCTACATCTAAATTTAGATCTTTAATGACTCCCCTTCCACTGAATAAATCAACACTCAGCTGATCAAGTGACAGTTTTTCCTTCAGAAAATGGCCCACATATCTCTGTAGAAGGTATCTGCAAGCCCGTTTCTTCCATGATTCCGGAATCGGTATAAACCAAGGCATAATTATGACGCTAGATTAAAAGCCTGTTGAACATTAAATGGAATATCAAAACTACGTTTCCAAATCAAAACAACACTGCGCCATATTTGTTTTCATTCTGTTTACAAATTTATTTTTAGAACCGACGTAAGTCGCGAGTTCAAGAAAAGATAACTCTTTTTGAAACGATAACATTTTGGTAACGCTTAAATGATGATAATGTATCAGCCACATTGTAAATCTTCGATCAACTCTTCATTTACATTGAAATATTTTTTTATAAAAAAATATATCTAATTTAATTTTCCTAGTACAAACTTTGAATTCGGAATTTGTTTTTGAGCAAAAACGAAATTCAAGAAAGTATTTTAATCCAAATCCCAGTTTCTCAATAACCAAACAACCAAACCGGATGTTTCAAAATGAAACGAAATCTAAAGTAGAAAAATGTAAACAATGACAGAAATTGGGAAAAATGACATAGAAGTCGGTTTCAAACTATTAAACAGTTTTTGATATTAACTGCGTTTTGGTAGGTTAGAAGTTATGCAGTTCAACTAACTGTTGGCTATAAATGGAATTGAGAAATTTAGAAGAAAAATAGTCTTTGCACTGTTGACGTTGTTGCCACACTGACACTTACACGATTATTGTGCCCACCATGCCGTGAAATTGATCAATTTGATCATGGCATTGCATACCATTTCGGATATGTTGCAAAAATTCATGCTTGACAAATTTTGAACATATCAAACTTCTCTTTACTACATGGTACTCACCTACTAGCCCATGGTTTGAATCATAAACGGTGATAGCTAACTCCATGTGTTTATAGACAAGATTTATGGACAAATTTTGAACTGGCCGAGGTTGAAATTGATCAAATTTGCACTTCGTACATACAACAACATATCCACATAAAAGTCAAAACCTAGATATTTTTCCTCAAACTTTTCATAGGTAGTGAAAATCATAGAAAAAAATTTCCTCTACCAGTACCATTTTCCTGAAGGCCATCAGTCAGTGATTTGATTTGCTACCATGAACTACATATTACAATCATTACGGACTGCTGATGAACTCTAAATACATGGTAGAAATCACAGGCAATGACATGGACTACCCTAGCCCTTAGGCTAGTTCATGAAGACTTAAATCATTGGCAAGCTAAAGTTCCGGTACCAGTATGTGTCATTGCACTAACAGAATTGTGACAGAGAAATTGGCATAAATTGATTCTGAAAATAAAATGGTCGGACATTGACAGAGATCTTAGTTATATTCATTTCAGATGGAACACAGAGTATTAAAAGTCCTGCCAGCTGATGTGCAATCTAGACTAAGATCAGATGTAGCTATAACCAGTGTAGCTCAATGTGTGGAAGAACTAGTCTTGAATTCATTGGATGCTGGTGCAGTATGTATAGCTATACGCTTAGATTTGACCACCTTCACTGTGCAGGTAGTGGACAATGGTACTGGAATATCTCAAGATGATTTAAAACTGATTGGTGAAAGGTGGGTAGATGTTTATGACAATTTTAGAAGGATTGTACAAATTTCTTATTACATCTTAATGATTTACCATTGGATTAAAGCCCTCTAATAGCTTTAAGATCCCTGAAAACACTTCTAACAGAAGTGACAGGAATCAAAATCTCCAGGGTATTATCGATATTCGAGCAACTATCAGCACTTTAATTATGGGTAAATGCTATTGTTTCTTCCACTGGTTTAAGTTTACTTGATTGTAGATGAACCAGATGCCAATTCTTTGTTATGAATATACATATGAAATGGATACTGATAGCTAGAAATGAATACTATATTTTACAGGTATTCTACTAGTAAATGTCAGAAGTTGGCTGATTTAGATAATTTGGAATATTTTGGATTCAGAGGAGAAGCTTTGGCCAGTTTACGTGATATTTCAACAGCTCTAGAAATTCACTCTCGAAGTCGGCAGTCCTCTATGACCTACTGTAAACTTTTTAACCATGGGAAACCTGTAGCTGTAGCAGACTCCAAATATCCACGTCCATGTCCAGGCACCACCATCACTGTCCATAACTTATTTTACAACCTCCCTGTCCGACAGAAAAATATATTTCCTACTTTGGAATTGGAACGAACCCGATATCGTATCGAAGGCATCTCTCTGATCAATCCGTCCATTAGTTTCAGCTTGAGGAATGATGCCACTGGTCATATTTTGCTGCAGACTCAAAAGAGTAACAGTATTCTTACAGCCTTTATGTATCTGTTTGGTGGAAATCTTTCTAAGCATTTAAAACCAGTAGCTATCGATAAGGAACTATTTCATATAGAAGGATATATCGGCAAAGATGGCTACAACAAGAAGCTTTTACAGTTTGTGTATGTAAACAATCGTTTGGTCTTGAAAACTCAAGTTCACAAAATTGTAAACAAGACTATGACTAACTGCATTCACTTTAGACGGAAAGTAACGAAGGATGTCAAAAGTTCAACTAGTGGTACCTCTCCAAGGTGCATGGAAAAGCATCCGATGTTTGTCATCAACATCAAATGCCCATTGAATATTTATGACATTACCTTTGACCCTAAGAAAACTTTGGTTGAATTCAAAGACTGGGAAACTTTGACTTCAGCTGTGGAAACCATGGTAACTGACTTTTTGAAATCTGAGAATTTATGGTATTGCACTGAATCTGATTTGATTAAAACTACTGATTCTTCAAGTCCATTAGAACCAACAACTGAACAGATAGATGCTTTAAAGAAGATTCAAGAAGAAACAGAGCTCCAAGTGTCAAATGAACCAGAAATTAGCACATTGAATACCTCCAACAGCTTGTTCTCTAAAACTGTATTCAGAAAACCTCCAGGAGTCCAAGAAACCAAAACTCCCAGTCCTCCTATGATTGAAGTCACAACTCCAGTTCAAGGCAAAGAAAAGGATGACGAGACTTCACCTCCAAAGAGTTCAGATAGTCAAGAGGCAGTGAAAGAATTTGCAAAAAGACTTCATATTAATTTTAATCCAAAACGAAGTGACTTTGCATCCGATGATGAAGTACCCATGGAAGAGCATATCAAGAAAGTAAATCAGGTTGAAGCAATAGCTTCCTGGAGTGATACCTCATCTGTAAGTTCTGAAGATACCTTACAGGAAGACCCTCTACTACCAAACATCGCTAACAAGACACTTCTGCTGCCACCTCCACAAACTTCGCATGATCCAAATCCAAGTTTTATATCTCTACCTTCAGACACTGAATGCATCTCAACCATGGACACTCTTCGATGTAAGGAAGTATTCAATGGTGGAAAAAATCTGACTGCAGCCCAGAAAATAAGTTTGAGGCTGAAGGAAAGAGGTAGAATTAGCCTACTAGAAAAAGAAGCTTCGTCAAAGGTTTCAAGAGTTTTGCAGAAATTTCGGAAAGTGAGTCGACAAAAAGTTGTAGAAATTGTGACTTTGAAACATAATGAACTTTGTGGAAATGTTGCAGTTTTGGAATCCAACATTCATAAGGAAGCTGGTGATGCTCCAGAAGCAAAGGCTGATGAACCAGACCTGCCAGATGTTCTTGCTCTGAATATCAATAATAGTAACCTCAACACGAAATATAAATCTGACACCAGAGATCAACATTTGGACAGGAAGAGGACAAATTTAAATGGGGGAAATGCACCAATCCCAAATCAATCAAAGAAATCAAAATTCATGACATCTGAATCATTTGTAATGACACCAAGAACAGCTCTAGTAGAAGTTCTTCCATTACTCCAAAGAGCTCAGAGACACACTGAGAAGATCCAAAATGCAACTAATCATGAGAAGCCTTCATCATTAAGAAATGAACAAAGCCCCAAGAATAACGGTTCAGTTGTTGATGTTTTTTTGGATAGAACTTTTAAAAGACCTCATCCCATTGATCAAAGTAGACGTTACCACTCAAGCAAATTTTCACCATTTGCAAGACCTGGTGGAGGACATGGTTGCTCTTATACCCTAAGCACATCCCAATCTCAAAAGATGGCTGATGTTGATGATACCGAGGAACATTCTGGAAAGTTCATTGACTCATCTCAGGGATTTAGTATCAGGATAACACCTTCAAGCAGCTTCAAGGAAGCAGATCAATCTGGTATCTCCAACACATCTCCAAAGCAATTTCAGGAGAGCCAAGGATTCTCCTTGAGTATCTCTTCACCTGATTTTGATTCATCAAGACTAGTCGCCTGTCCAAATAAACATCTTTACTCCAAAACTCCAGTTACTGCAGATCAGACATTCCCACCAACTTTAGCATTTGAATACTCGACAGATGACAGTGAGAAAACATCACAACTTTCTCCATCCAGCTCTTTGAGTGATAAACCTTCAGGCATCCTGCTAACACCCTTTCAACAACATAGTTCCACTGATCATCAAATGAACATCAGTACTCAATTGGACTCAGAACAAATGGCTCTTCCTCCAAGTTCTGATGACAAAATATCAGACATCTTACAAATGAAACAATGTTCAAGTAGTTGCTCTGATCCTCAGTTGGCCACAAGTACTGAAATGGCCACTGAACAAAGTGTTCTTACAGGTCAGCTATTGGATTCAAATGATACTGCAGTAACTTCCTCACAAATGCTCTCCACAATGGAAGATATTTTGATGCCAGGTAATAACAGTACTATTGTGGAGTCTCAAACAAGTGATCCAGGAATAGTTCCACGAACACCTTGTCTCTCCTTGACAAACAAAAATTCTGAAATGTGTGTGGATTCTCCCACTCACAAAAGTTCAGTAGCTAAACCATTTGAATCAGGAAGTGTAAAAGATAATAGTTTTCAATGTGGACAGAAATACAACTCAAATACAGATGAGAAGCCTTATACTGACTCTTATTCCTTTACTGATCTACTCTCAGACAATTCACAGACAGCTTTTGAAATTTCTGCCTCATGTGCTGCCCATTTCAATTCTGACAATGATCCAACTGGAAGTGAAATTTGTGGATCAAACATCACCATGCAGAAGGACCAGCCTGAAATGCAAAATCAGGAGTCAAACAGGATAATGGATAAAGATCATCTTGAAATGGACACTCAGGGAAAGAATATGACTAAGGATAAAGATCATGTTGAAATGGAAACCCTGGAATCAAATAGGACAATGGATAGAGATCAATTTCAAAATGAAGACCAGCATGAGCAAAAGATTCTCGAGGAAGAAAAAGAGGTTAAGGATTGTGCTACAGAATCATGCAATGGCGATACAACAGACATATGGATTGAAATGACTGACAAAAACTCAGGTTTGACTTTCATATTATTTTATTTTCACCATTTTTCTGTTCTTTTAATATCTTATTAGGACTATGCACATACCAGGAACTGCTGTTGATTAATTTTTTTCACAATCTGACATATATGTCCATATACTTATTGAGTGTCCATGAAAATCAATGACTGTTTACACTGAAAATATGGTGAAAGTGTGAATGTTTTATAAAAAAAATTGTAGTGGGTTAATATACACAAGATATTGAGACAGTTACAGCTCTTGATATACTGATTAATTGCGCATATCTTGCTTCAAGCTGCTTGGCAACTGCTTGTTCAAAGTTGAACTTGGTTTTGTATTAAAGGTAAAGTTATCCATGTAAATCAACTAACAGGAAACACTGTGTATGAAAAAGAATGGATGGTATTACAACAGACATTCAATAAACCAGGTGAAAATATTTTAAAGAAAGTTTTATATGCAATTACACAGCATTAAAAACATGATAACATTTACTTGCTAACATTGAACAGATGGTTGTTGTTAGTTCTAATCTCAGTCAGTGAGTTAAATTCTGGTGACCTGAACTAGTCATCTTTCCTCATTATTTAAGACAATCTAGGTATGAATGGGCATGGATAATCCAGAAATGATCAATGCCTAGAGATTTAGCCTTAGCCAGTTGGTAGACAAGATACATCAGAGTTTAGGTTATATTTCATTATCAACAAAAATTTATTTTGTAAGGAAACTATTTTTTTGCAGAAAAACTGACATTTATTTGCTTTCTGTAGGTTTTAGTAATTCAGAGAATATACTATGCAGTAAGAAAACAAGTAGTAATATATCAACTCTATGTACCAATGATACTAATAATCTGTATGGTATGTTACTAAACCACCTAGATACTAACCAAGAAGAACAAACTATTAAATGGAGAAATGAAACCAATATCAATAGTAACACAGGTAAATTTACCTTATTTGATTTTGTCGAACATCCAAATTCTTGTAGTTACCTCTTTCTCACATGTTTAAGCTGGGATATTTATTCAGATATTTAATTAACTCATTTGTACATTATTTTCAGCTATCTGTAGCTCAATTTCAGCTATCTGTAGCTCAATTTCAGCTATCTGTAGCTCACTTCAGCTATCTGTAGCTCACTTCAGCTATCGGTAGCTCAATTTCAGCTATCTGTAGCTCAATTTCAGCTATCTGTAGCTCAGTTCATCTATCTGTAGCTCAATTTCAGCTATCTGTAGCTCAATTTCAGCTATCTGTAGCTCACTTCAGCTATCTGTAGCTCAATTTCAGCTATCGGTAGCTCAATTTCAGCTATCTGTAGCTCAATTTCAGCTATCTGTAGCTCAGTTCAGCTATCGGTAGCTCAATTTCAGCTATCTGTAGCTCAATTTCAGCTATCTGTAGCTCAGTTCAGCTATCTGTAGCTCAATTTCAGCTATCTGTAGCTCAATTTCAGCTATCTGTAGCTCAGTTCAGCTATCTGTAGCTCACTTCAGCTATCTGTAGCCCAATTTCAGCTATCTGTAGCCCAATTTCAGCTATCTGTAGCTCACTTCAGCTATCTGTAGCTCAGTTCAGCTATCGGTAGCTCAGTTCAGCTATCTGTAGCCCAATTTCAGCTATCTGTAGCTCACTTCAGCTATATGTAGCTCAGTTCAGCTATCGGTAGCTCAATTTCAGCTATCTGAACATCATTTTCAGCTATCTGAATATCATTTTCAGCTATCAGTATCTCAATTCATCTATCTGAATATCATTTTCAGCTATCAGTAGCTCAATTCAGCTATCTGAATATCATTTTCAGCTATCAGTAGCTCAATTCAGCTATCTGTAGCTCAATTTAGCTATTTGTAGCTCAATTTCAGCTATTTGTAGCTTAATTTCAGACATCAGTAGCTCATTTCAGACATCAGTAGTTCAATTCAGCTCGCTGTAGCTTAGTTCAGCTATCTGTAGCTCATTTTCAGCTATCTGTATAGTAATCTGACTTATATTTCTAGGAAACTCAATAGATGATATGTTTAATCAATGGCAAAATCCTGTTCATGGAAAACCAAATCAGGTAGGACATTTTTCGAGTGATTTTCTCAATAACAATTCCTTTCAAATGAGTACATCTTGATTCTTGGTGACCATTAAGTTTCATTATGTAATCAATCCATTAAAATACTTGATTGTTAGTTTTTATACTTCAGTGTTAAAATCTTGCTCACGGTTCAAAATTTGTGAACTATGCAGGTGTAATAATTTGTAAATTGACCAGTGTAAGAAGATGAATGCTTTTGTGTTGAGTTTGGGTATAAAATATTGGAACAGGACTCTCCTTTCACAATCAATCTTACAATCTATATTGTCTGAAGTGCAGTATTTCTCTATATAAAATGTTCACTTACGACAAATTCTAATCTTGGGATTTTCCTGTGTTAAGAGGCCCAGATAGTTAAATATATAGTTTGTATTTTTCAGTGTGGTATAAATACTGAAGTGAGTCATTCCAGTCGGTCAGCTGTTACATCATATCAATCATTAAACCAAATAACTTTTACTAAAGATATGTTATCATGTATGCAGGTGAGACAGATATCTTATTTCTGGAACACCATTTTTCTTATCCTTATTACTTACTCAAAACAAAAAACAATATTGTGACATTTGATAAATCTTTTTTGATATACATACTGAATTCAGGAACAAAGTAGCTAGTAGCATATAATCTTATGTTACTTCTGTGTAGCTTGTAGTTTGGAGTGTGATACTCCACGTTTGAGTCATGGTTAGAGAATTGCTCAAATGGCTAGAAAACCTTTCTGGAATACCTGGTGCTACTCTTTTATATTTGTAGGTATTGGGTCAAGTGGACAGTAAATTTATAGCTTGTTTAATATCATCTACTACACAGTCTCAAAACAAGGGTATGTCCACCATCCTACAAAAACACTTAATCAAATATGATGAATTGATGCCAACCGGATTTGTTATGCTAAGTTGATCTCAGTTGTATAAGAGAAAGGGCTAAAGCCGTCATATTATGGGCTGAATTTTAGCTATCTATAGAACTTAACATAATTAAAACAGTTTTGACTATTGTCACTTCCAACACATAAGCAATAGCTTTGATATGTACCTTTCATATCCTAACTTTGTTGACTTGTTCATATTCTTTTTAGTTGTAGTTCCTGATTTATTAGTAATGTTAGATCAACATGCAGCACATGAAAGAGTCAGATTGGAACAATATATATCAGGTAGAAACTCTTTTAGTTAAAGTTCCTGGAAGAGTATTTGGCTGTCAAACTAATGTGATGTTGTGTTCCTGATGATAAAAACACTTATGTATGACCACCTGACATCAATTGGTATGGTAACTGTTACATGTGCATCATTTGACCATAATTTTTCAGAAATATTTTATTAGTTTATGGCAAGTGTCTTATTATCACTTGGTTCAATTGAAGATTGTGTTTTAGAAATATTTGGAGAAGAAGTAGATGGAGAAGTATCAGATAAAGTGAAACAATCAGAAATAACACCACCACTATCTTTAACCTTACAACAAGAAGATATTAGAGTAATGATCAGTTTTAAACACGAGTTCTCTAGAATAGGTAAACTTTTCAAACTCTTTCTAATTATTGATCAGTTTTAATTACTTTAACACGAATTAAACGCCAGAAAATAACAGCCAATCATAGCCAATGTATGGAAAACATTAAGTCACACCTTTTACACTCTGGGCAGGGCAAGAGCTGTTTAGCTACATCTATACATAAATATATCAGTTCATGAAAAGTTCCCCAAGAATGAAATCTCAAATTTTTCCTTATAGGTATAAAATTTACTGGTGTAGAAGAAAACAGAAATGAAATCAAACTTAACTCCATTCCTGCTTGTATAGTTGAAAGAGAGGCTAATGAATTGAAACGAGGCAAGAATTCCATAGCAACACAATTTGTTGAGGTAGGACCATCTTCATGCACATCAAGTACATTTCTTGTTTTCAAATCGTATAATACCATTTGGCAAGCTTTGATTATATGATTTATCTCCCTTGTGAAAGCCAATCAAATTACTTACCTATAAATTATTTATTTACAAGAGACAAATTGGTTTCAGACCACCATAAACTTGCATGTCTAAGGAAAGTTTAAGAATATTTGAAAAAAAATGAATGTATTTTGCTATTTATCCACTAAACTGTTATTGTATTTTTTGTAGGAACTCATAACTGAACATGTTGAGGTATGGTTGAATTTCAAATCTTTATCAGCTGAAGCTCTTATATGTTTGTAATGTTTTTCAAAAATTTTTAATTTGATCTCATAAAATAGGAATAAAAAAAAGAAACATTTTTACAAGGATAACAACTTAGGTTCATGAGGATCATGTTTACCAGCTGGTTCTTAGCCAACATGTTGGTAATGAATTTATAAGGATAATAACTTATGTTCACAAGTTCGTCCTTGATTATATATTATCAATGTTTTTATGTTTATAGTATTTAAAGAATACCAGTGGTTCTAGAAGGAGACTGCCATTAGCTTTACATAGAATATTAGCTACCAAGGCTTGTAGAGGTCTGTATCATAAATTATCATAAGATTCAGAGCTGATTTGTATCTGCTAGGGTCAGACACTTACTCTTAATTTGTGATTTTCCACTAAAGCTGACTAACACAGGCTTGTAATCTTTTGTTATTAACTGTAATTTGTGAAAGAGATATCCTCTAATACACTGTGTGGTGTTTTAGCTGTCTTCAGTAATCCAAGCTGCATTTTGTACCTTGTTGGTAAAATTTTTTATGGATGATTTTAAGGTCCAAAATCATTTTCCAAGATAAAAGTTTTCCCATGGATTGTAATGATATAAAAACTCTTACTCTTGGCAAATCCCTTGGAATGGCCTTAATTATAATAATATTCCTTGGTTATAACTTCTTTACAATTAATTTTCAGGTGCTATTAAATTTAATGATATATTATCCCCAGCTCAGTGTAAAGAATTAATTACAGCTTTATCAAAATGTGATTTACCATTTCAATGTGCTCATGGTAGACCTTCTATAATACCATTATTTAAATTAGATAGTAAACTCTTTCAACAGACACAGGTAAATATTGATAGTATTATACAATGATAACACCCTGTCCTGCTGAAGAAGGTAATGTCGTCGGCCAAGATATTTTGGAATAAAACCTTTAAATTTCTACACAGAGTTCTGTCTATATCAGTTGGGGGGAATCTTTCCAGAGTATCATTATTAAACTTTGGAGCAAAACAGAACTATTAGAAATTTTAAGCTGTAACATTGGGGTTAAGGAATTTTACAAAAGCACAGGCACAGGAATGCCGGCTTTACCTCTATTAGAGGGATTTGAGTGAGATTTTCTGATCTTTATATATATTTATATGATTTCTAGGCATGATTCCTGTTATTCTAGAAATAATTGACTAGATAATGATGTTGAAATACCATTACGTTAGAATGACATTCACCATAGTAATGAAAATTTATGTTCTCCATACAGTGAGACTGTAATAGTTGTTTTTTGTAGTTTCAACAATGAATTTCTCTCCCTTTGACAACTTACATCAATTACTTTCCTTAAGATTATTTACTGATTTTATAGAGTTTCAATCCAAATGTCGGTCATATTCAGGTGCAATTTCTTGGAGGGATTGTTTTTTATCGTGATTCTATTTATATTTTGATTTAAAGTTGACTTGTTGTATTATTTTTAGGTGAAACCACAACTTGATAAGTTGAGGAAAGGAAGACCAAAACAGGAGTAAAAAAGTAGCCGCTTTCCACCAGACTGGTTGACTGAGGTCTCTAGAGAGATTCACCAGACACTAGCACTTAAAGGCTGATTGTTACTCACGTTTTTAACTTAAGAACTATATTTCACTTTCAAGGTTTTTGAAAATTTAAAAAAATGAACCTCCCAAGAAAAGCCACAAAGTTCCACGTCTACTCTTAATTTTGTACCAGTGGTTAAGAAATTTCATTATACTTTCCCTCCCCCTTTCCCCATCGATTTTGGTTGCTGAACCTTGAACAGATACAAAATTTCAACTTCATGATAGACATAATTTCAAATTTGGTCATTTTGACTTCCTTCTGGTCAGATGGTTACCAAAAAGTTCACTATTACATGAAGAGACTGAAGTGCCATTGTTTTTAACAGTTACCAGCTATATATAACTGATAGGCCTATCTCTGTTATTTTGTGTTGTTATTTATTTTTGACTGTGATTTATAAATAACTGTGATGATATTATTATTATTTATAGTTTTATATATATAAAAATCAAATAATTAAAATGTTATTATCATTCCTATCATTGTTTTATGACCAAGGTTTTGGAAAATCTTTTGAGCCAAACTTGGTGGAATACCACGGAACACATTGATTTTAGCTTTTATCTGCACAGAATTGGCCATTAGAGAAATATCTTAGATTCCAATCGGAATTTTGTTTTGTTTTTATTAGAATGTTTTGTCTTTAGATCAATCTGCAATATTCATAAATTTCATAAAAATTTGGCCCTGCTTCTAAAAAACACAACGTTAAAATGATTTTAATATTCCATTCATCTGATTGGTTACTCACTTAAATTGATTTTAAATTTAGTTTGATTAGCCAATCAGATTACCGTATATTTTAAATCTGGATTTGATCATTGTTACAATTTAGTGAAACAGATCCTTGGCCTATATTTCCTCAATTCCACAATTGGCCCTCATGAAAGGAATCTATTACAATAGATAATGGAACGGAAATTGTGGGTAGATGTTTTGTCTGTCGAAAACAGGAAACAGTCTCTCTTAATTGCCTGAAATTCCAGAAGCAATGACGTCATCAGATTATCCAATATTCTGTGAATTGGCCTCCATTTCCGTACTTCATTAACAAATAAATACGTTTATCAATATTAAGTTAGTTACGAGATTTTTACATGCAAAACTCTCTGAAACCATGTTCGGAAAACGATTCCTGTAAATCAATTGAATTGGTTAGGGATGATTTACCTGTCATGGTCCTTTAAGTCGTGGTCTAGCTAATTCGAAAGGTATCTACAGAAACCCACAGTCCTTAATTCTGATCACAGAAAGCTAAGGCATTGTGGATATAAATCAAGCTATACAATCTCGTCCAAAACATGACAAAATGGGAAGGAATAATTGTTTTGTAGTGTTGTGTAGTACTTATACAGCATGCTAGATGGATTCAATAATTCTGTCAGCTTTCGATGTCCCAATTCAATTTTTTCTACAGCCCTTATATTACCTGGATTGTTCTTTTGATTTTTGCAACCCTGTTTAAAGTATATATATGCAGCAATATTCTCTGATCATTGAAATAATTTATATAAAAGATTCTCCAATAAAAGCAATCAATTCTACCCCACCCGTCACTGAGTTCGCCTCTCCGTCAGTGATTCCGTCATAACGTCAATTGTCAATGCTACCAAATATCCAATTTATCCTCGTATTAGGATTTCCGAAATTCTAATTCGACACAGTACATATTCAATATCGTAGCCAAAGCTTTCAACCCCAACAGATAGAACAACAATAAAATGGTTCATAATAAAATTATTCTTTGTCCCATTTGTCCAATTTTGAGCTATAATGTGTTTAAAATTTAAAAATTCAAAAATAAATTTCTATAATTATACTTGTAGGACTAATTTAGTTCTGCTTCGATTTGACATTCTAAAAATGGTTCTTTGAAATTCAAAGTAGAGTCGGTTTCTGTCCTAAGAGCATTCAGAGACTTCTATTTAGAAGGAGAAAACTGGTTTGATACATCAGACTGTAAGATAATACGACCCCCGATACTCATTATAATCCTTATAAAACATAACATGTCGATAGAACTGCTAGTTAAATAAAAGAATAACTAATTGCTAACCTCTTTTATATTTTGTTTTTGACTGTAGCTTATTTGAATATTGGTCAAAAACCATCAATGATATTGTTTATGTAGAATATTTACTTTAATTGAAAAGAGTCTAGTCGTTTATACGGATACAATTAACCGATGATGCGTGTGCTACTGGATTGGCATATTAAAGATCCCACAACAGGTGCAAATCGAAAAATAGAAGACAACATTGCTTTCTTGCTTGTTCTTTTTGACTGTGGCTTATTTGTATACTGGTCAAAAACGAACATGGAATATTTACTTTATGATAAAGCGTCTAGTCGTTCAGACGGGACAATAAACCAATGATCTGTGTGCTGCAGACTGTCCATGTTAAAGATCTCTCGACTGTTGGAAATCGAAAATGAGAAGGCTAATGCCGCTTTCTTGTCAAAATTTCTTGACTTAGGCATTTAAAGTTACCCTGTTAAGAATGATCTGAATTTCTACGAAAATAGAAGAACTGCGTAGAGACCCCTACAGTGTCAAACTGGGATGGTAGCATGTTCTTAGGTTACATAAAATGAATTGTTTTGTTATATAAAAGAGTCCCAATTAAAAGTTTACAAATTATATAAGTAGTAGGTCAATATCTATTTCTTTATCATGAAATCGACTAAAGGGCATGTTTCTATTAAAACTGTTATATAAAGCCCTGTACAAACATTGCCGATAATAATATGATCGTTTGTGTTTATGTTTATATAACAGAGCTTTGTGTCTTTTGTAAAACGTGCCGTGTACACCTTTATAACTTTTATTATACATGTCGTTCAGACGAATTAAGATAATTTCCAGGGGACGCTTATTATAGGTTACGCCAGAGGTTGACCGTTGACTGGCGACTTAAAGTATCTCATCAGAGCTGTCGACATGGATTAAGAAAATTCTCATATTGGCAAAATTACAAGCAACTGTGATCGACTGGATGGTCACAGATACTGATGACTCCGATCGACGAAAAGAAGCAGGATTGATAGAAAGTCTAACAAAACCCCATGTCAAATTGGCTACAACGGCAATTTCAGTCATAAATCTACCAATGTCGACTTAATCCAGCGGGTGATTAATTTCCAGATACCATCAAAGTGACGACCCACGTGATTTCAGATCCTGCTAGTCAATGTCGAGACCAAACCCTTCCCATTTTTAATGTCAATTTAAACAAACTAGAAGAAGGTTTTCCTTTAAAAATATCTTTAGACACGTTTGTAGATAATCATTATGTTAAGAACACGTGGGAATGTTTCCTCGAGATAAAAAAAATACGTCTATAAAGATCCAATAGGTCAAATAAATCAAACCCAAATTAATTTATAAAATATTTAACAATGGAGAGGATTATAATCACCGTTTTACTAGGTCTTTGTATTGGTGGGACGGTTTATGCTCAAGTTCCTGGACTAGGACCATGTTTCAACGCAACAGCTCAGAGCAGCTTAAATCTCACACAAGTAAGAACCACGCCCATTCTTACAGGGAGAACAACAAGGATCTGGTTCTGGGCCAATCCTCTTTTTTTCAATTTACCGATTAACAGCTGTAAGAGAATACATCTCCTTACTACTATATTATCCACAAGACTGAGCTACAACTCTTCCTTAACGTTCATGGCTTTGGACCTTGGCATCATAAAAAGTTTAAAGCATAAGCCGAAATATTAATATTATTGTTTTTTAACATGAGACAGTACATTTATGTATTATTTTTCATTATCAGTATTTAGGTAAATGGTATGAAATAACCAAACTACCAAGCTATTTTGAGTTAGAACAAGTTTGTGTAACAGCCAACTATTCTCTAAAAGAAGATGGTCATATTAAAGTTTTTAACCAAGGAAAAGTGTACGTTTTATAATTTTGAATTACACAGTTTTACTTATAGAACTGAGACTGCTATAACAGTCAATCTGAAGTCACTTTGTAAAAAGTTTTTTAGTAAATGATAAAGGTCCTAAGGATAAATTCAAATTCAATAACAAATTACTCTTTTCTCTCCGTAATTATTTAACTTCAGCAATTCGTTTTTAATCTAATCACACACTTACTTAAGTCATATTTTCATTTCCAAAAACGTTACGGTTAAAACAAATTCTTTAGTAAATATTTCCATGTTCATTGTATATTTGAAGATCAATGAATATAAATACGTCTTTGTTCTAGTAATGGGAAGAATATAACATCAATTGGTGATGCCTTCGCCCCCGACCCATCGGAACCAGCCAAGTTAAACGTTAAATTTCCCGGAGGTGAGTACATCCATGCATTTTATAAAAGGGATATTCTGAAGATTTAGTGTTACAAAATTATAGTTTTTGCATTTTAAAGACATATACAGTTCGACGTCTGTGGTTCATATGTTTTTGCATTTTGTTCTATCGCATACGTATAAAAAACAGTTTCGTCAGTGGCGTATCTATGAATCATTAGGTCGACGATCGAGTAGGGGCCACGCAAATCTATGGGGGTTGGCCCCCCCCCCCCCCC